CATGATTTTTTCATAGCGCCGATCCCCAGAAGTCTCGGCCCATGCCCCGGGACCGGTTTTCCGTCCTGAACCGTGTTTTGACGGCCCCAGGGCCCGGCAAGGGCCCCCAAAGGCTGGAAATGGAGAGAAGCCGCCCGTCGTGATTTCTTTTCATGACTCGAGGGGGTCTGGGCTCCCTTCGCGCCTCCGCGATCGCCTCCCGCAGGCGCCCCGCCGCGGCCATGCGGCGGTCACCCGACGAGGCTCCGAAGCGTGAGGGCGTCGCGGCGGGCACGCGCTGCCGCCACGGCCGCGGCCTCCTGGGGATGACTTCGGCCAGGGCTCGGGCTCGAGCCGGGCGCCTCAGCACACGAGAGCTGCATGGGTGCGAAACGGTGCAAAGCAATAGTCGATCTGCACCATGATCACGTCTTCTCTCGGCTCATATGGTTTCTGTCTCTGTGTGCACTGTCACGTCTCTCTGCTAATTTCCAGCGTCTCACGCGCTCCACATGCATGGCGCCACGGCGCCCGCCTGCGACGCCCCAGCCAGCGACAGCTGCAGGTCCGACGTCTGTCGACGATCTGCGATGTCACGTGCGAGCTGTATTTTTCGATGGCTCCGCCGAGCAACGCAGCCCGATGGTGATGGAGGGGGAACCAACGCCAGCGAGGCTCCACCCAAGGCCAGCACTGAAATCCGTACGCACTGCCCAGGCGGCGCTAGCGACAATGGATTGGCACTGCCAGGCGCGTGCCTGGCTCCGACCAGGGCGGGAACCAAACCAGACGCTCAAAGTACGCCCGCGGAAGCTGGTCGGGCAACAACCAATATCCGGGGACATCGAACACATCATGCACGTATCAATGTATTTTCCGTTCAGCCTGCTTGCCAAATCCCGTAGGAACATCCCCCTGAAGGGTAGCCAGCTCAGAAAGTACATGCCAACGGAAGGGAGAAGTGATTCATAGGTGCAGTGTCCGAATGCACACATCACCTCGTCTTGTGCTACCTCGGCAGATGCCGGCCCCACTCACGAGGCGAAACATATGCGGAGCACGCTATGTGGTGTTAGGTATGCTGTGTTAAGCTGTGTGGTGTGAGCTATTTGGTGTCAGCTAGGATATCTAAATTCTGTGGTGCCAGCCATGCCGTGTGATCTATGCGGTGTGAAATATGCTGTGTGAGATAGGTGGTGTAGGCTGTGCGACCCACCCAGGGCACGGGGCGCCTACGAGCGCCCACTGGCGGGCACCAGGCGAAACCTCTTATGCATGTATGTCTGTATGTATGTATGTATGTGTATATATATGTATGTATATATACATACGTATAGATATTTGTATGTTTGTATATATATGTTTGTTTGTATGTATAAATGTATGGATGTTTGTATGTTTGTATATTTGTATGACTGTAAACATGTATGTATGCATGCATGTATGTATGGATGTATGTGTGTAGGTATGCATGTATGTATGTATGTATGTATGTCTGTCTGTCTGTCTGTCTGTCTGTATGAATGTATGTATGTATGTATGTATTTATGTATGGTTGTATGCATGTATGTATAATGTATGCACGTATATATATATATATATATATGTATATGTAGATTTGCACGTGCACACATATATCTCTATATATGTGTGTGCGTATATGCATACACATAGATGTAGATTCTCTGATCGTCGCCGTGCTAATCCAGGGGGCCCACGAAGCTTGCAAGGTGCTTTCCGGAAGCAGTTTTGACCCCTCTTGGGGGCTGTTGTGGCGTCTTCTGGGGCCTTTTGGGGGCCTCTTGGGGAGCTGGGGCCTGTTGGGGGCCTCTGTGGGGATCCTTGGTGCCCCTCGGGGGCAGTTGGAGCGTCGGGAAGGCGAGAAGTTGTTGATGCTGAAAACGTACGTTTCACGAGAGGGATTTGTCGATTTTGGCCTCTTGGGGCTCCCTTCGGAGGCCTCTTGGGGTGTCTTGGGGCGAAAAGGGGGCCTCTGGGACTATCTTGGGACCATCGTGGGCGGCTTGTGGCGCTCTTGGCCCAGCTTGGGGCCCTCTGTAAGCCATCAGGGGCCGTCTTGGGCCCTCCAGGCGCGCTCGGGTCCCAACTACCCCCAGCGGGACAAAGGTCTAGCCGCTAGCCAGATCAGCTTCACATGTATGTATATAGACATATATACATACACCCTTTGTATTAGTACAGCTATATAAGTATATGCGTATGTATATGTTGTTGGTTACGTATATGTTGACGTTTACGTATATGTATGTGTACATGTACTTGTAAGTGTGTGTATGCATGATTGTGTATTTGGGTATGTGTGTATATATATATACATATATTGGTGCATACATTTACATGTATACATATACATATATATGTATGTATGTATATATATATATGTATGTATTTAGAAATTCTTGCTGCGCTTCTACGGAACTGGGCCTCACGGTTGGTCTGGCGGCTATGTGGCCGCCGTCGCCGCCCCGTCGCCGCCTCGTCGCCGCCCGTCGTCTGGGCCTGACGGTCGGTCTGGCGGCTGTGGCCGCCGTCGCCGCCGCGTCTCCGCCTCGCCGCCGCCCGCCGTCTGGGCCTGACGGTCGGTCTGGCGGCTGTGTGGCTACCGTCGCCGCCCCGACGCCGTCTCGTCGCCGCAGCAAGAACTGCACCACATATATATATATATAATATATATATATATCTATATAGATATATATATATATATATATAATATATTATATTAGAGACCCCGCGGTGCGGATAAGAGTGAGGGGGGCGCCGGGGACGTCGGCAGTCTGCGAGGCTCTGAAGAAGCCCGCCGCAGGCACAACACCTTTCAAGCTACACAACGAGCCCGCCGCAGGCGCCGATTTTTTGGCTAAAGCAACGTGGGTGGGTCGCGGGTTGGGTCGCAAATGGGTCGTGGGTGGGTCGCGGGTGGGTCGCGGGTGGGTCGCGGGTGGGTCGCGGGGTGGGTCACGGGCGGGTCGCGGGTGGGTCGCGGGTGGGTCGCGGGTGGGTCGCGGGGTAGGTCGCGGGGTCGCGGGGGGGACGACGCCAAACAGCAACAAACAAACAAACAAACAACCAAACAACATCAACAGCAACAACAACATCACCACCAAAAACACCAACAACAACACCAACAACAACATCAGCAAGCAACAACAGCAACAGCACCAACAGCAGCGCCAGCACCAACACCAACACCAACAACACCAACACCACCACCAACAACAGCAACACCAACACCAACACCACCACCACCAACAACACCACCACCAACAATAACCAACATTGCGTAATCCCATTTCGGCCACGCACCCAATGACGGTGAATGACCGTTCGGCCCCCTCGCTCTGATATAGCATCATACATATCGCATCGCGAATATTTCACGGCGTAGGTTGCGCAACGCACATGGATATATACATATATATATATATATATTATATATATATATATATATATAGCATAACATCGGTGTTGCAACCTTCACGCATATACATATACATACACATACACATATTGCACTATACATATCGCCCCACATATATCGCACAGCGTAGATTGCGCACCGAAATTATCGCACAACATACATTGCACCACGTTGGTCGCTCCACACATATTGCATCACACATGTTGCACAACATTGATTGCACAGCAATTGCAGCGCCACAACTGTTGTGTCACATATATGGCGCACCACAGATGGCTTCACACATATTGCAAAATATGGACTGCACCACGCATGTTTCACAACGTGTAGTACACCGCGTATATGGCATATCATATTCTACACCAAGTAAACTGTGCGGCGTAGATTGCACGACGTATGTTGCACACCGTTGATGGCACGACGTAGCTTCTCTTTTCTAAAAAGAGAACCGACCCCCCCCGGAATATCGACCCCCCTTTCGTAGTGCGATTGGCATATCAATTGATTCTGCCCCATTGTCCTTCCTGAATATGAATTCGCACCACCCCAGAAGGGGGCCGGTATCCGCCCCCCTCGCCATCCCCTGCGCAAGAATACTATGCGCGCGCAGTCGTTTATCAAAAATCATCCGTGTTCAAGAGTCCTTTGCCGAAACATGAAACGATGTGCACGTGCGCGCGTTGTCGCGCGCGCATGCCGGAATCATTCAAAAACTTTCGTTTTCGTAAGGGTTTCAAAATCGAGTCCAAAAACGTAGAAAAACAGGGTTTCGCAACACGGGTTTTCAAAAACAAACTTGCGCGCGCGCTCTTCCGAATTCTTAAGAACGAATTTTCTGATAATTCAACCAAACGGGCTTCGCGCGGGCGCATGTCGAAATCGTTCGAACGCCCCTGCGCGCGTGCCGTCGCGAGAACCCTTAGCAGCAGAAGAACGAAGTGCACACGCGCGCGTCGTCGCGCGCGCATGCCGGAATCCTTCCAACACTTTTGGTTACGCAGCGTCCAAAAACCACATACAAACACATGGTTTCGCAACATCGTTTTTTTTTTTTTTTTTTTTTTTTTTTTTTTTTTTTTTTTTTTTTTTTTTTTTTTTTTTTTTTTTTTTTTTTTTTTTTTTTTTTTTTTTTTAAAAAAAAAAAAAAAAAAAAAACGTGCACTCGCGCTGTTGCGAATTCTTAAGACAACCAGCTGATTTTTTAGAAAACTTCAATGGTATTCTACCAAACGGGCCTCTGGCGCCGCATGCCGACATCATTCGCGCGCCCTGGCGCGCGTGGTGGGGGGGCACGATCCGTGTCAAATAATACTATGCGGGCCGCTCTCGCGCGTCGGCCGCGCGCGCAAGATGTCGAACTCTTTCCAAAACCTTCATCACCGAGGTGAGGACGCCGTCATCGTCGCCGGCGTGATCAGCATCGGCGCCCGCACTGGCCGCGCCGTCGTCGTTGTCGACGTCGTCACCAGCATCGCTGCTACCGTCATCGTGTCTACAGTTGTCGACGTTGCCATGATACCGCGCCCGCCCAAGTCGCCGACTCGCAGTGAAGTGCCCGCTGCGAAGTACCCAACGGTCAGCGCCAGCGCGGCTGCGTCGATCGCGCCAAACTAGCTGGCCGCTGCAAGCGCGTGCTTGGGTTGGCGCGGCCGCAGAGATGCGCCGGCCAACGCCGTGCATGCATCGCAATCGCCACCGCGTGGGTTTTGCAAATCAAGTTGCGGGCGGGTGGGTGGGATATTGGCGAGAACATGGAATTTGTGATGCAAACCAATTCTCCATTCTGAAATTATCTTGGCGAAGGACCCGACCATCTGCTGTTGTGGGTGCCGCAATTGTACCTACCTTCTTCGGTGAAGCTCCATATGGGGCCGCGAAGCGCTGCGCCGGGTGGGGGGGGCGCGTGCGGGCGATAGCACTGGGGCAGGGCGCGTGCGGGCGGTCCCACTGGCGGTTTCGGTGGAGCTCCCTATGGGGCGACGAAGCGCTGTACCAGGTGGGCGAAAATGCCAAAGTGGATTTTTCGGGACGCATGCGGACGGTTGCGCTGAAGCCTTCGGTGGAGCTCCCTATGGGGCCACGAAGCGCTGTACTGGGTAGGTGAAAATGCAAAGTTTGATGTTTCGGGGCGCATGCGGACGGTGGCACTGGGGCCTTCGGTGGACCTCCATATGGGGCCACGAAACGCTGTACTGAATAAGTGGATCTGCCAAATTTGATGTTTCGGGATGCGTGCGGACGGTCGCGCTGGGGCCTTCGGTGGAGCTCCCTATGGGGCCGCGAAGCGTTGTACTGGGTTAATGAAAATGCCACATCAGATGTTTCGGGGCGCGTGCGGGCGGTGGCACTGGGGCCTTCGGTGGAGCTCCCTATGGGGCCACGAAGCGCTGTGCTGGGTTGATGAAGATGCAAAATTAAATGTTTCGGGGCGCATGCGGACGGTGGCACTGGGGCCTTCGGTGGAGCTCCCTATGGGGCCAAGACGCGCTGTACTGGGTAAGTGCAAATGCCGCATTACATGTTTCGGGACGCGTGCGGACGGTGGCCGTGGGGCCTTCGGTGGAGCTCCCTGTGGGGCCGCGAAGCGCTGTGCTGGGTGGTGAGAATGCCAAAATTGATCTTTTGGGGCGCACGCGGGCGGTGGCACTGGGGCCTCTGGTGGAGCTCCTGATGGGGCCACGGAACGTTGTACTGTGTGTGTGTGTGTGTGTGTGTGAAAATGCAAAATTGGATGTTTCGGGGCGCGCGCGGGCGGTGGCACTGGGGCCTTCGGTGGAGCTCCATGCACGAAGCGCTGTGCTGGGTGGGCGCAAATGCCAAATTGGATGTTTCGGGGCGCATGCGGACGGTGGCACTGGGGCCTTCGGTGGAGCTCCCTATGGGGCCACGCAACGCTGTACTGGGTGGGTGCGAATGCCAAATTTGATGTTTCGGAACGCATGCGGGCGGTTGCACTACCTAATTTTCCATCGCCTCGGTTTCGACCCGCTTGAAACGCGCGCGAGCAGAGACAGCTGTCTCGAACGGAACACACAGTAATTCACGTGGCTTTGTGCGCACCCGCACAGAAGAGGCAATGAACGCGCTGGCCTCTGGAGTTTCTTGCCCGTCTTCCTGAAGGGCCGAAAGGTGCAATTTCCTCCAATGGGGTTTGAACTGCGTCTCCCCGCCCACGCACGAACGGTTTTCGCCATTTCCCCGATTCGGCCCGATCGAGACGCGCGCGAGAATCGAACGAAACACCTGGTACTGCATGTGGCTTGTGCACACCCACAAAAGGATGCGACTGAAGCGCTGGCCCCTGGAGTTTGTTGCTCGTCCAGTGTTCAGCGGGTGCAGTTTCCTTAATCTCGGGCAATTGCTTTTGGGCAATTGCTTTTCCTCTTGCTTGAAAAACCCATTGTGTCCTCGTGGGTCCCATGTATTGGTGGTCTGGGTACTTTTTTGGGCGTGTAAGCTTCATGAATGCCATGTCTACCCAGATTAAGCATACAATCACAGTAACAACGGATACCGTGGACCCGCAGAAATCTGATCCACGGAACCGTGGGTCTGCTGACCAATGCCGCGATTCTACTGGGGAGGGGTTTCCCTGTCGGTCGGCTGGTCGATCGGTTGGTCGGACGGCCCGCCGGCCGATCGGCGCGTCGGTCGGTCGGTCGGTCGGTCGGTCGGTCGGTCGTCGTCGTCGTCGTCGTCGTCGGTATGTCGTCGTCGGCGGTATGTCGTCGTCGGCGGTCGATTCGTCTCTATCGTCGCCTGGAGCTCCAGAGGGAAATCTTTCGGCACGCGTGAGTAACAAGGGACCCCCCTGAAGAACGCAGGGTGCTGCGTGCGCCCTCCCGTCCCGAGGCCACGATCCCTGGTTAAAAAACAGGGGGTCTGCGCTCCCGAGGCCACGATCCTGTGGTAAAGACAGCGGGCCCTCGTCCCGAGCTTCCACGACGGCCCATGCAAGCAACCAAGGACACCTCGATCGCCCAAAATGCCTCGAAGACGGGCAAATATGGCCCCAGGTCGGCCGAACATGGCCTCAAGCCGGCCTAAGCTGCCACCAAGAGGGCCCAAGAGGGCCACAAGGGGACCTTCAACAGGGTCCAAAGAGAAGCCAACGTCGTCGACTCTTCCTCGGTGCTCGAATGTTTCTTTTTGCAATCTCGCCTTCATCGGGCTCCTGTCAGCTCAGGACGCGATGGCCCCAAGACGGCCCAGGAGGCCCCCCACGGGGGGCGCACGAGGTCTCTAATAAAGGGGCCCCAGAACACACAAATAAATACACACAAATAAAACGATTCCCCATATTTTCTCGTATTTTCTGGGTTTTTGTCTTCCCCCCCAATTCCCATATTTTCGCCTATTTCCTAGGAATCGCCGATTCATTGTGTCTGTGTGTGTTTTCTCCCCTCCTGATCCAAGACGGCCCCGAGGCGGCCCAAAAGAGGGCCTCCCATGAGCCCCACGGTGGCCTCAGAGGGCCCTGCCAGACGGCCCGACGGCGCCACTGTGGCCCGACGCCGGCCCCCCCAGACGCCGAAGGAGGGGCCCCAAAGGGACCCCGAAGACTGCCGCACAGGCTGCCAAGACAACGCCAAGACGCCCCACACGAGTTCCGTGCGAGCTCTTCAGACAGTTCAGACGGCCTTCCTCTTCCTCCTCCTGCTCCTCCTCACTCTCGACAGCATCTTCGTCGTCATCATCGTCGTCGTCATCATCATCATCATCGTCATCATCATTCGCATCATCCTCAACAGCAGCAATCTCATCAGCATAATCATAATCATCACCAGCATCATTATCACCATCACTATTACCATTATCATTGGCATCACCATCACCACCACCGTCATCACCATCATCACCATCATCACCACCACCATCATCATCACCATCATCATCAGCATCATCATCATGATACTCATCATCATCCTTATTATCATCCTCATCAACATCATCAAACTCATTTCCATCGTCATCATCGTCATCATCATCAACATCATCAGCATTATCTTCATCCTCATCCTCATCCTTGTCATCACCACCAGCACCACCATCATCATCAACAACATCAGCACCATCATCACCACCAGCACCATCATAATCCCCATCATCTTCACGATCCACATAGTCCTCATCACGGCTCTCCCAAGCCTGGAGGCACGAGGTGTCACACGTGACGGCCTCCCGTACCCCCTCGACTAGCCGCCACCCAAAACGCCAGGCTGGCGCGATGGCGGGACCTGCTGAAGGCAGCTGAAAAGTTGTCAAAGTCGCCAGTATACGCGGCGCCCACAATATATGCCATGCTTACCACGCCTGAACGTTTTTTCAAGCTGTGCTGCATCAACTGGTCAGAGGTCCTCGCAACATCGACTCGGCATTGTTACGGTCCTCTGCCCATGGAAAACTCACAGATCGATTAGCTTCAAACGCGCAGAATCGAGCAACAAGGATGCAGAACAATGTTACCCAAACTCTAAGCCCATAATCTGCCCCACAACTGCGCGGCCCGATGTCATGCTCCAGCAAGCCGCAAGCGCTCTAACTTTAAGGAGGCCAGACCTTGGCGCGTAGTCGCAGGAGCGATCGATCGAGGGTCCTCACAATCACAGCCCAGCGACTCGGGTAGAGGAATAACAAGCGTTTGGAACTCCACGCGGTCCTAAAGTGCCCGTTGATGCAACTCTTCTTCTTCATGCCATAGTCCAGCGACTCGGGGAACCAACACCCATAATTCAGTCGCCTGCAAAGCAAATGCCGCAAATCGCCAGCACACGCTGGCCAAAGGTCCCAGAGGCAGCTCCTGCGCCCCCAGCCCCTCGTGAAAGCACCACGCTGCAGCTCGGCCGACCATGCGACGCAGCCAGAAGAGGGCGGGACTGCAACAACGACCGCGGACCCTGAGATCTGTGCGTTGCAAGCAATTCGGCCGCACGCACCGTCCGTTCGGCACGCGAAGTCGCTTCGAGGCCCACGCCACCGATGAGACCTCTATGCGGGCCTCGCTTGGGCTCAAAGCCTAGGTCCAACTCAGCGAGGACCAAGACGAGCACCCGAGCTCCCGTTTTTTTCAAACTGCGAGCACACTGCCTGCGATCGTGGGCAACTCTGCGCCGTCTGGCCAGGCACCAAGACAAGCACCCGAGCTCCCGTTTTTTTCAAACTGCGAGCACGCTGCCTGCGATCGTGGGCAACTCTGCGCCGTCTGGCCAGGCACCAAGACAAGCACCCGAGCTCCCGTTTTTTTGTCAAACTGCGAGCACGCTGCCTGCGATCGTGGGCAACTCTGCGCCGTCTGACCAGGCTGGGCTTCAGCAGAGCTAATTCGACCATGCTGGAGACTGCAGAAAACAACCCGCACACGTTAGAGCATATTGATCCCGCTCGAGAATTCCGCAGCAAGATGGGGTCCAGGGCTGTGGACGTGGTTTTTCACGATGCTGCCTTCGCGACACAGGATCTCGGGGGAGGAGCATGAGAAGAAAGAGGAGGAGGAGGAGGAGGAGGAGGAGGAGGAAGAGGAGGAGGAGGAGGAGGAAGAGGACGAGGAGGGCACCGGCGGCAGCTCCTGAGCCCTCGTGAGCCCCTGGCTCGCTCGGGCCTCGCAAAAATCTGCAGGTCATGCGCGGCAGCCAGCGCCAGCGGCAGACCAGGCGCCTCGTGCAGGAGGCATCCGCCGGCTGCCGCTGAAGCACCACCCGCTGCAGCTCGGCCGACCTGGCGACGCAGCCAGACGCTGGGGGACGGGGACTTCGGACGCCCGAGGTGGGTGCGGATAGCATGGGCACGATGCCCAACAAGACATGCCGCCAGAAACCAGCAGCCGCCGCTGTTCGGCAGGCGGCTCGCTGCCTCGAGCGGGCCACGTCCGCGGCGACGCCGACAGCGAGCCCTCTTCGAGACGGGCAGGCACCGCGAGGAGTCGTCGGCCCCAATTCTTCCCGGACCCCCCTCGGTTCCACCGAGGGGGCGAGCGGAGAGCGCGAGCCGCATGCAACACAGCAGTGGGGGCCCCGCCCTCGCTCCCTCTCCTCCCGCTCTCCCCGCGGGGAGAGAAGGAAAAATGGGGGCGCCCGGCGCGGCCCTGCCCCCCCAGGGTCGCGCACCGCCGGAAGCGGGGAGAGGCTGCTCTCGCCATGCCTCCCCCGAGGGCCTCCGGCAGCGCACGCCCTGCCAGCGCAAAAACAGGCTATAGGCGACGGGGCGAACGACTCACACCAGAACAAGGAACCCCAAACGACTCAAACCACGAGGAGCGCTTTCTCTCCCTCCTCCTCCGCCTCGTCCTTCTCCCGCTCCCACCACAAGGAGGATGTACAAGGAGGCGGGAGGAAGGAGGAACAGGGGAGATATGCGGGGGCAGGCGGAAACACGCCTGAAAAACACGACTGGGCAGGAGGGGGAGGGTGCCCGTGGCAGTTCAGGAGCCCCCCTGGCGCCCAGCTGGTCCCTGGGATCCGACGGAAATCGGCCGGCCACGTGCGCCAGTCAGCGCCTGGGCATCGCTCGGGCGTCCATTCCCTGTGCTTTTTTGGGGTTTCGTGCGTGGTTTTTTCGCCCAGTGATCAAGGATGCTCCTCGATGGCCCTCGCCGAGATAAAAATGCACACGTCCGAGCGATGCCAGGTGACAGACAACGCTGCAGCTCGTCCGACCTGGCGGCGCGGCCAGAAAAGCGGGGGGAAGGAGAAGGAGGGAGACGAGGGAGGAGAACATTAGCACAAGTCCAGAAGCAAACCGTCAGGCTGTGTGTTATTGTCACCACACTAAGCTCGTAACGTTTACTGTGGCTGTCTAATCAGGGGCTGGCCGCAGTGCTTGCTACCTTGATGTCGCGCGGGGGGACTTGGCAAGGCCACCTTTGAGAAAGCTGGCAGTGACTGAGGGAAACCGGGCCATATTCATACGTCAACGGGATCGTAGTCTCGGGGATTGCTACGCTCGATTGCCACGGAGCGGTTCGCGAACAACTCGTCGTTGATCTCTAGTATGCGCCTGTCGATGTCGTTGATCTTCATAGTCAGATTCATGCTAGCAGCAGGACCCTTGAGCCTTGCGGTGCCGTGGATCAACTCTTCCGCGGTGAGCTGTCCGTCTCCGTCGTCTAGCTGCTCAAATAAAGTCATCGCGTCCCTCACATGTATCTCCTGCGAATGCAGCCAGTTCCTTACCCACTCATCCTTGCAAACTTCCTCCCATTCTGCCACATCAATCCTGCCGTCCGCATTGGTATCTGCCTCCTCGAACAGGCGGCGCATTTTGTCACAATGGATTTTCTGCCTGCGTATCGTCTGTCGAACCATGACGGAATTGTCCACTGAAGCAACCTTGAACGTCTCCCCAACAAAAATTCCATTCACAATTCCTATGACGGCGAATCCCAGAATCCGCCGACCCCTTGTGGGCCTCCAAACGTGTGACGTGCTTCCCCTCTACAATTTCCCCCCCTTGGGTCCGGTCCCAAACTGCGCGTTTGGTCCCTCCCATGGCCTCGGTTCATCCTGGGATGGAGGGTCCAGCCTGCCCTGGGCTCCTCCTGGGGCTTCAAGACTGCCCTGGAGAGCTCCGGGACGACCAACAAGGTCCCGAGAGACCCCGCTACGGCCGTCAGAGGGCCCCGAGAGGCCTCAAAGAAGCTCTAACCTGTCTCCGAGACGGTCTACCGGGCCTCGACGACGTCCTAAGAGGTGCCCAAGAGGCTCCCCAAGAGGGTCCCGCAAGGCATAACCCATTGATTTGTCCCAGCCATCCTGTGTGGAGTTGGGTCCTCGTTTTCAACCAGCAGTGCCCCGCGTCTCACTCCTTCCTCCTCCCTCTCCTAGCCCCTGACCTCCGTAGTCTTTGTTTCGGCACATTCCTCACGCGCGTCGTTGCCCCGTAGGGAGCTCCACCTAAGACCCCCAAATCCCCAAATCCTGGTCCGCAGACCTGGTCCACACCATTCCGGCGCACACCTCACACCTTTCGTGGCCCTAAGAGGGGGCTCCACCTAAGGCCCCAGTCTCAAGGTCCTCTTACCTGGTCCGCACCATTCCGACGCACCTCTTGCACGATTCGTGGCCCCATAAGGAGCTCCACCGATGGCCCCAGTCTACGGGCCCGCATACCCAGGCCACGCAATTTTGGCACATCCCTCACTCGTTTCGAGGCCCCCTAGCGAGCTCCACCTAAGGCTCTAGTCTCAAGGTCCGCATACCTAGTCTACACAATTTCGGCGCCCCCCTTGCACGTTTCGAGTCCCCCTAGGGAGCTCCACCTAAGGCCCCGGTCTGAGGGTCCGCATATCTGGTCCACACCATGTCGGCGCATCCCTCTCACGTTTAGTGACCCCAGGTCCACACCATTTCGACACACCCCCTCACACGCTTCGTGGCCCCATAGGGGACACCACCGCCTGCCGCAGTCTCAGGGTCCGCATGCCTGGTCCACACAATTCCGGCGCACCCCTCACGTGTTTCGTGCCCAAGGCACCAGTCTCACGGTGCGCATGCCCGGTCCACACCATTTCGACGCATCCCTCACACGCTTCGTGGCCCTACAGGGAGCTTCACGCAAGGCCCCAGAGGCAGGACTTGCACGCGTGACCGCGCCAGTGTCAGCACACTCCCCACACGTTTCGCGGCCCAACGGGGAGCTCCACCGAAGGCCCCGCCGCCTGCTGCCCACCCACACCTTAGTCCTTGTGCTAGCCCCTTCCCTTCGTGTTCACCTGTCTTCTGGTACTCACACCTGCACATGCTTCGGTCTCTCGCGAGGCTAATTTTGAATAGGCTTTTCAATGCGTTTGTCATTTTCGCCATTTCAACTTCCCGGCGCTCCACGACGGCCAAAGAGGCCCCAAAGATCGCCCCCAAACGGCCAAAGAGCACTGAGAGGGCCCCAGACGACCCAAGGAGGCCCTTAAACAGCAGAAGAAACTTTCAAGACGGCCCCAAGAGACCCCAAGAGAGCCCCAAAAGGGCCCCAAGAGGGCTGCTGGAGACGGAACAGGAACTGACATTTCGAGTTTTTCTCTTGAAGATCGTGCCAAGAGCCTCCAGCAAGCCCCCAACATGCCCCCAAAGATGCCCAAGAGGCCCAAAAGAGATCCAAAAGAGGCCCCAAGAGGTTCCCAAGATGCCCCAGAGAGGCCCACAAGGGACTAAAATGCTCCAAGAGGACTCCAAGACGGCCAAAAGAGAGCCCAAGGAGACGCCCGAAGGGGACCCAAGACCTCAACCGTCCCCAGAGACCGCAGAACTACCTAGGAGAGCCCCGACACGACCTACATAAAACCTCACAAACCAATGGACACGCCCGCAGAGCGGGAAGTTCAACTGACTTCTCGAGACCTCGGCCCCAGGAAACCTCAAGATGCTCCACATGACACCCAACAGAACTCCAAACTCTCCAACTCGCGCGGCGCGCACGCCGCAAACGAAACGGCATGTCCCGCGAACGCAGCTCAGCACAGACCGGGAGCCCAAGGCAACCAACAAGAAGTAAACGGGTCGGCGGATGTGACGCAAGCTGTTAGAACGCACGCCCAGAGGTAACGCGTTGCCAGAGGCGGGTCTGCGGAGGCGATGATGCAACGTACCCGACGTATCTATTTCAATGCATGCCACTATGTAGAATGTATTCTACATTTTTGTGTCACCCGCCCTAACCCCGCCCCCGGAATCGCGCCACTTTTGTCGACCTAAAAAAAAGCGGAGCCTTTCTGGGCTTTAGAACCCATCACAGACTTCGGAACATCGATGACTTGGGACTCTTGGGCCTCCCGGGGGTCCCAGAGTGCCGCAAGACGGCATCGAGACGGCATGGCCCCAACAAGGCCCAAGAGGCCAACAAAACTAAAACTTTGCAAGATTTTGGCGTTCTCGCTTTTTGGGGCTTCCGGGGGGGCATGACGGCCCAGGTAGCCTCCAAGACAGCCCCAAGATGGCCCAAGAAGCTCCAAAGAGAGCCCCAAGACGGACCAAGGGGGATCCGAGATGGCCCAAAGAGGCCCCACAGACGGTCCTAGAGGCTCCCGAAACGGCCCAGGAGGACCCGAAGTAAGAGAGCCCCGAGGCGGCTCTGAGAGGCCCCCAAGACGTTCTCCAGAGGGGCCAGGTGGTACAAGAGCGCCACAAGACTGCCCAAAACGCCCGCATGAATTTCCAAGAGGCCCCACAAAGGCCCCGTAAAGGCCTCCAAGAGGCCCATAAGCTCCCAAGACTGTACGTGCTCCCGGCGTGCACCCCGCGAAGCGAAAGGAATCCACGTACGGAAATGACGTGTTGCTGGAAGCAGGCCGGGCGAACGCCTCAATGCAGCGAATCCGGTGCGAATGCATGATTCTGGCCTCTTGGGACTCCTGGGGGCCCAAGAGGGCCTTAAGACGGCTCAAGAGGGCCTCAAGAGGGCACGATAATGGTTCAAGATAGCCCCAAGAGGGCCCAGGAGGCCCCTTAAGACGGCCCTGAGGGGCTCCGAGAGGAGCCCCAAGAGGGCTCCAAGAGGCCAAACACATGGTGTGTTCCTTACGTTTTTGAAACAACTAATTGTTCTCGCCTTTTTGGGCTTTCGGGGTCCAAGACAGCCCCAAGATGGCCCAAGAGGCGCCCAAGAGAGCCCCAAGACGGCCCAAGGAAACCCGAGATGGCCCAAAGAGGCCCCTGAGAGAGCTCCCAGATGGCCCAAGGGGCCCCAAGACGGCCCAAGAGGAGCCTAAGAGAGCTACAAGGCGGCTCCGAGAGGCCCCCAAGACGGCTTCCAAAGGAGCCAGACGGCGCAAGAGCGCCACAAGACTGTCCAAGACGCGCCCATGAGGCCCCAAGAGGCCCCCAAGAGGCCCCGAAGAGGCCTCCAAGAGGCCCCCAAGAGGCATCAAAGAAGCCCCAAGAAGCTCACAGGAGGCCCCACAACGACTTGACTGAACGTGCTGCTCCAGACGTGCACCCCGCGAAGCGAAAGGAATCCACGTCCAGAGGGGACGTGTTGCTGGAGGCAGGTCGGGCGAACGCCTGAATGTATCCAAAGTATCAAAGTATTGCATATTGTTACGTGTTGTCATTTTGCAGAATTCTGTCTCCACCTACTCCCCCCGCACCCCCCTCCCCCGGCGCCACGCTACTCCCATCAACATGAGGATGGCAGACACCTTCTGGTCTCTCAAGCCCAACGTAACCTGTGGAACGTAAATGATTTAGGCCTATTTGGCTTCTTGGGGGTCCACGAGGGCCTGACGACGGGTCAGGACGGCCTCAAGACGGCCCCATGACGGCCCAAGATGGCCCCAAGAGGGCCCCAGAGGCCCCCGAGAGGACCCCGAAGAGCACCTCCTTGGGCTTTCGGGGGCCAGTGACGGACCAGGCAGCCTCCAAGGCAGCCCCAAGACGGCCTAAGAGGCCCCCAAGAGAGCTCCAAGACAGCCCGAGGGGGACCCAAGATGGACCAAAGAAACCACCAAGACGGTCCACGAGGCCCACAAGATGGCCCAAGAGGACCCGAAGAGAGCCCCGAGGGGGACTCCAAGATGGCCTCCGAAGGGGCCAGAGGCGAAAGAGCGCCCCAAGATAGCCCACGACGCCCTCAAGTGGCCCGAAGAGGCGCCAAGAGCCCTCAAGAGGCCCCCCAAAGGCCTCCAAGATGCCCCGAAGACGCTCCCAAGAGACCCCACAACGACTTGGCTGTACGTGCTCCTGACGTGCACCCGCGAAGCGAGAGGAATCATCTTGTGCATCACAGCATATACAATGAACACTTCACTAACGTTCTCGACTAGCACCCTGCAAGCGATTGGCCAATTTGCAGGAGTAATTTCGAACATAGTCAAAAACGCACGCGTGAAGCTTCCAAAATATGTGAATACATCGAGTTGACCCTTGCTGGGAGCGAGTCCACCGTCACCGGCGCCCACATCAAAATACACAGCGCGAAGGATTTGGTTCATTAGGAGTGCTAGCAGCATGTGTATCACGAGCAACATTACAAACGACCATACTAAAACTGACAAGCTGCTCTGGAGTGATGTCGTCAGGAGGTACAAAGAATCGAAACTACTGTTCATATTTTTGATGAGCCGTACGAGCCGGCATAAACGCACCAGGCGGGCGAGCCGCAATATCTGTGCATTGACCAGCGAATGGAGAAGTTTTCCGGTCCACCAAAGTATGACGAGGCAAAGGTCCATCCAGTTCCACAAATCATGGGCAAACGCAGCGCGCAGAGCAACAATCTTGAATATTAGCTCCAGCAAGAAGAATATTCCAAACCCCCAGTTGAGCGCACCAAACACATCCTGCGCATTGGGCCACACCTCGCTAGAAGGACGTGAGGCACTGTGGTGTCCTGTCCATACAGCCAGATCGTAGCCTTCATACTGTGCTTCTGCTGCCATCGTGAGGCCGTTCAGTATGATCACTGCAGCTGTTACGACTTCGCCCAGGGGGTGCTGCGTCATGTTCCACAACACGCCCTTCTCGCTGGCCTTCTGCTTTGCCAGCATCTTTGAGCTGAGTGTTTCTCCCAGACCTCGCTTCGGGTGGAGGGGCGAGAGTCGGCTGCTTTGGCCGCTCTGGCTGCTCTGGCCAGTGGGGGCCTCGTCGAAGCACACCTGCACGTCGTCGAGAGGCGAAGCCCGCACGCCGTCGAGCGGCGCTAGCGGGCCAAGCTCCATCTGTCCCGCGTCGGTGCGGCCGCCGCGCGCCGGGCACGCCTCTGCCGCCGCGGCGGCCAGCTCGGCGCGCAGCCTCTGCACCTCTCGCCGCAGGAGGTCGACTTCCATGTCGTGGGCCTGGCTCGCCTGCTGCAGCTGCCTGCCGAAGCTGTTGGCCTTTGTCTCCGCGCTGCCGGCCGGAGCCGCAGCTGCCGCGACTCGGGGGCGCCCTGCAAGCATATTGCGGGACCCACGGTAGGGTTAGGTCGGGCATGTCCCCCTACAGGCGGATTTGGGGAGAAATGACAAATACTCAAAAAATGCTCAAAAATACGCAAAACTAGTCGAAACATCGTCCCCAGGCTATTTTTTGACTATTTTTGAATCGTCCTCCTGTAGGGGGACGTGCGCGACTGAAGGGTAGTGCGCGGCACCAGGGGATCCGCTGCGGGGCACAGCTTGGGCCCAAATGGCCTTTTTCGCCGAGAGGCGGGCTCCTGCAGGCGATCCCCTGGTCTCAGCTGCCCCGACGCGCAGCACGGAGCCCGTCCGCAGCGTGTTGGCACGGAGCTCAAGACGCAGACTCAACACGCAGGTCTGGCGCGATACGTTCGCCCAAACTAGAGAAAAGAAAAGCCACACAAACATCAACTTTGGGCGCTCTGCGTGGATTTCTTGGACTCGCGCTGGAACCCCCTCCCTGGCGCGCGGAGCACGCCCAGGGGCGGCGCCGGAGGCGCCGCCGGGGGGCCCAGGCGCAGAAATCCACGCGGAGCGCCCAAAGTTTAGGTTTATGTGTGTGTGTGTGTGTGTTTTTTGTTCCTTCTTCGAGAAGCGTTTTTTTTTTTTTTTTTTTTTTTTTTTTTTTTTTTTCTCTTCTTCTTCGAGAAGCGTGGGCCAGCACGTGCCGAGCCAGCATGCAACATGTTCCGACCAGCCACAACCGGGGGAGCTGTGGCCCTTACACCCCCCTGGGGGAACCCATCGCGTCGAGGATCTCTCGAGAGGGGTGCCGAAATCGGTGGGCCCCCCTCCGGGGGGGTAAGGAACACGGCTCCCCCAGTCGTGGCTGGCCTGATGTTGGCACGGGCGTCTTGCACGCCGGCACGTGCTGCGCCTCACGGCGGCCTTTTGCCAGGGCAACCGGGCCCCTGGCTGCGGAGGGCTCCCTGCGAGGCTCGGGTGGGCCCCCGGGGCAGCCCCCGGGGCGCGTCTGCCGAGGCGGGCAAGGCGGCCTTTTGCCAGGGCAACCGGGCCCCTGGCTGCGGAGGGCTCCCTGCGAGGCTCGGGTGGGCCCCCGGGGAAGCCCCCCCCGAGGGGCGTCTCCCGAGGCGGGCCGCTCAGCACGTCTCGGTCGGAGGACCCCCTGTGGAGGCTGAGGGGTCGGGCGCCTCGGAAGGCAGGGCGGGGAACCTGGAAATTCTCCGAGGCGAGGCCCGGACATCTCCAGCGAAGCCAGAGCATCAGGAAGGGTCGAAGCCCGGAAGCCTCCTCACGCCCCAAGCCCGAAGCTGCTGGAGAAGCCAACTCCGCTGGGCCTGGCAGCCTCGAGCTCGCCCGGCAGACGATTGTCCCCAAACCCCGACGCCATCTTCGCCGCCGTCGTCGCAGACGCCGTCCTGGCCCGACTTGGTCGTCCCTGCTTCTCTCCCCTTTGCCCTCGTAGCCCTCCTACCTCCGTCTGCCTCGCACTACCTCCTCCTACGTCCACTAACCTCCTCCAGCTGCACCCTGCCTGGTCCTACCTCCGAGAGGGCGCGCTACGAGAGACAGCGTCAGGAGGGGGGGAGGCCCCCCCCGCGCTAGCTACCAACCCACCCTTCTGCCACCTCTGCCGGAGGCAACCCCTCCTCCCCCCATTGCACCGTTCGACCTCTGCAAGCTACCACTCCTTGAACCTCTCCAGTTGGAAGCCCCCCCGCCCCCCACCCAAACTACGACGACGACGACGACGACGACGACGACGACGACGACGACGACGACGACGACGACGACGACGACGACGACGACGACGACGACGACGACGACGACGGCAGCGGTGTGCGGACAGGGCGCTCGCAGCGCAAGCATTAACAGCAACAGCAACAGCAACAGCAGCAGCAGCAGCAGCAGCAGCAGCAAGAGCAGCACCACCAGCAGCAGTATCAGCACCAGCAGCAGCACCAGCACCAGCACCAGCAGAGACAGCATCAGCAGCATCAACACCAACGCCAACGGCAGAAGCAAGCAGCATCAGCATCAGCATCAGCATCAGCATCAGCATCAGCATCAACATCAGCATCAGCAACAGCAGCAGCAGCAGCGCAGCAGCAACAGCAGCAGCAACAGCCGCAGCACGCCACCAACAAAACACCAGCAACACCACCAACAGCAAAGCTACCGGGACAGGAAACAATCCTACTCCACTCGGACTGCCAGGTGGAAGCGACTGGGGAGCGAAGCAGCTATTCTCTCACTCTGCTCGCTACGAGGCAGCGCCTGGGGAGCGAAACACATACTGCTCCGCTCTCCTCGTCACGTGGGCAACGCCTGCTGGACGTGGCAACGAAGCGGGACGGTAACAAAGGCGACTCCACTCGACTCGCCACATGGCAACGCCACGTGGCAAGGCATGACAGGCAAACGAACACACTTTCCTACTCCGCTCGCCACGCGGCAACGACATGGGACTGGCCATCGCTCGGACGTCCATCTCCTGTGTTTTTTTCGGTTTCGTGCGTGGTTTTTTCGCCAAATGATCAAGGATGCTCCTCGATGGTCCTCGCCGACGGAAAAATGCACACGTCCGAGCGATGCCAAGGGGAGGCGAAAGAACACCACGATTCCACTCTTCTCAGCGCGTGGGAATGCCGCGCGGGGCGAACAAATACAATCTCGCTCTACGCACCACGTGGCAGCGCCAGGGGGACAAAATCACCGAATCCATTCCAGGCCCACGTGGCAACGCCGCGGGGCGGAAACAAATACAGCGCCACTCCATCCGCAACGGGGCAACGACAGGCTGGCGAACAACATGCAGAACAGCTTTGCGCGCCACTTGGCAACGCCGCACGACGAACCACAACTACTACATTATAGCGTTCGACGAGGCAGCGCCGCGGGGGCGAACACCAAAATCCGCCGACACTGTCGGCGTGTGTGAGGGGCTTGTCTGTTCGAGTCGTCGTTTCCGTCAGTCGTCGCCTCCGGCGTGCCCTTTCCCTGTTCCCTCCTCCTCACGCCTGTCAGCGAGAGAACAAATCTGCAATGCCGCAATCGGGCCGAAAGGGAGCCCATTCTCTTTGATCCCTCCCCCGTCGGGGGGGGGGTCTCGGGGGGAGTGGGGGTCGCATGCGCGTCCCCCCCTGGGGGTCCCAGGGCCTCCGGAAGTACCGAAGCCTGCCAAGAGCGCCCCGAGAGGCCCCCGAGACGGTCCAGGCAAGCCTCCGCTCGCCAAACATTCGGTCCCAAACGCCTTCCTGCCGTCCAGACGGCCCGGGAGGCCGCCACGCTCCCCACGAAGCCTCCAACAACACTACCGGGTAGGGCCCCGCGAGGCAACACTCGTTGATTTCCCTTTGGTCTTTGAAAGACTGGGGCGTTCTCGCCTTTTCCGCTCCACTCCGCTCCACTCTGCTCCAAGACGGCCCAAAAGGCCCCAATATCGCCCCAAGACGGCCCAACATGCCTCCAAGGGGACCTCAAATCAGCCCAGGAGGACCCCAAGGCACCCACAACGCCTCCAAGACGGCCCAAGAGGCCTCCAAGACGGCTCCAAGAGCGTACCCAGACGGGGGACCCGAATTTATCTTTCGAGCCCTTGGACGCGAGAGGCTCCCAGGAGCCGAGAGGTTCCCAAGAGGCTCCAAGAGGCCCACAAGAGGTCCCCAGGAAGCCTGAAGAGGCCCCAAGAGGCTCCCAAGAGGCCCCCCGAAAGGCACCCAAGAGGCCCCAGAATTCCTTCCCAGAGGCCCCCGAGAGCCTTCCGAAGAGACCCACAGAACCGTCCCTCTGGAAGACGTCAGCGTCGTCGTCGTCGCCGCCGCCGTTGTCGTCGTCGCCGTCCCCCTTCAGGGTCGGCGGCGCTGGCCGTAAGGCCTTCGCAATCTACTCGGCACGTGGCTCCAACTCGGATGAAGACGACGACGACGATGAAAACAACGAAACTACGAGCGAACACGAGCGACGACGACGACGACGACGACGGACGACGGACAACGGACGACGACGACGACCACGACGACGACGATGACGACGACGACGAACGACGGACGACGATGACGACGACGGTCGACGATGACAACGACGACGGCGATAACGATAACATCGACCACGACGACAATGATGAGGACAATGACGACGACGAAAGCAACGGAACTACGAGCGAGCACGAGCGACGACGAAGACGACGACGACGGCGACGACGCTGGACGACGGGGCCAGGAAGCGTGAGGGTGCGAATGGTGTGCCACATCGGGTGCGGGTACGCCGCGTACGCCGTGCGGACCCTACCGCTGGGCCCTTCGGTAGAGCGCCCCATGGGGCCACGAATCGTGTGAGGGGTGTGCCGCACAGGGTGCGGGTACCCGCTCAGCATGCGGGCCCTACCGCTGGGGCCTTCGGTGGGCCCCCCCTATGGGGCCACGAAGCGTGTCAAGGGTGTGCCGAATCGGGTGCGGGTGCGTCATGCGGACCCTGCCGCTGGGGCCTTCGGTGCAGTTCTCTCTCTGGGGCCACGAAGCGTCTGAGGTGTGTGCCGAACTGGGTGCAAGTATGCCATGCAAGCCCTGCCGCTGAGGTTTTCTGGAACTCCCCACGTGGTCATGGAACTTGTGTTGCGTGCACCGAATCGGGTGCGGGTGCGCCATGCGGACCCTCCCGGTGGGGCCTTCGGTGGGGCCCCTACATGGGGCCACCGGACATGTGAGAGGTGTGCCACATCGGGTGCTTGCGCGCCATGCGGGCCCTACCGCTGGGGCCTTTGATGGAATTCCCTACGGGACCGCGAAGCGTGTGAATGGTGCGCCGAATCGGGTGCGGGAGCGCCATGCGGACCCTGCCGCTGGGGCCTTCGGTGGAGTACTCCATGGGGGGAACTCCCTCAGGGATCGTGTGGAAGGTGTGCGATCATGGTGGTGGGGACACTCGGAAGGCAGAGGCAGGGATTGGAGGAGGGGGGAGGGGGGAGGAGGAGGATTGAGGGAGGGTGGGATTTTTGCGCGGGCATTGGAGCCGACGATTGTAATTTCGACTGGCGAAATATACTACATCGATTTCATCCCGCATGTTGGTCCATGCACAGATTGCACCACACAAAATGCACATCGAGAGTGAACTAGCCCACTCTGTGGGGTCCACGCTGGCAAACATGGTTTTAACTCTCTAAGGGGTCCCGGGACTTCCCTCCTCTTCCATCCTCGAGGGTGGATGCGGATAGAATAGGAAGGTGTGATGGGCGGTTCTGAGATTCCTCAGTTTGAATGGGATGCCAAGGGGTGCTGTATCCTTTTCATCATCATCCCCCCCATCTTCCTACTCCTGTTGCTCCTCCTCCTCCCTCATTTCTCCTCCATCGTCCCTATCCTGGATATCCTTTCTCCCTGCTTCCTCCCTTCTCCACCCACCGTCGCTATCCGTTCCTCCTTCCTCCTCAAACTCAATCAATCACCCGCTACGGCCAGACCTAGGACAAAATAGCATCCTTCAAGAACATGAGACCCTCCGTCGGCCAAGAACACCCCAAACCATAAGACCACCGAGGGTACCCTTCCCCAAGATGCACAACAACATCCAACAAGCACGAAGAACATTAGGGTATCCTCCCCGAGCCGACCTCGGTGTTCACCCTCCCTCCCTTCACCCTCCCCCTTCCCGATCCTTCCTCCCTTCGCCGGCCGCTCTCCGTTCTCCACCTCTTCATCTTCCTTCCCTTTCCCCATGGTCCTCATCGCCTGCAAAACCATCTGGCCATTTTGGTCGAGACTCGCCGTCACGTGCTTTGAGTGAATCCGCCAGTCGCAACCAAATCTGTATCGGCGGGGCAAGCCAGCCGCGCAACGAAGCTAGAAGGCCGCAGACGAAGGAAGACGAGGCGAGGAGGAGGATGAGGAGGAAGAGGAGGAGGAGGAGGAGCAGGAGCAGGAGGAGGAGGAGGAGGAGGAGGAGGAGGAGGAGGAGGACGAAGAGGAGGGAGGGAGGAGGAGGAGGATGAGAAGGAGGAGGAGGAGGAGGAGTGAGGAGGCTGAGGAGCAGGAGCAGGGAGGAGGGGAGGAGGAGGAAGGAGGAGGAGGAGGAGAGGAGGAGGAGGAGGAGGAGGAGGAGGAGGAGGAGGACGAGGACGAGGAGGAGGAGGAGGAGGAGGAGGAGTTGGAGGAGGAGGAGAGCACGTAGGTGGGACTGGGAGGTCTGGGGTAGAGTAGGATAATCAGCCTACTGGGGGCAACCATCCTACAGCGCTTCATTTTTGCGGGTAGAGGGCTCGCCACGCCGCCTTCGAGCTCCAATGCATCTCTCCTTGTGTACAGTGTCCGCATGTGACAGGGCAGACCGCATTCATACCCGCGGAGACAGCGCAAGTGGATGACCCCCACTGGCCACACGTTTGACCGAAGTACGTCTCGTTGAGGTCTTCGCACGCCGCCCATATGTAGGCGGGGCCCCGGAAGCCGTCGCCCCGGTGGCAGAAGAAGCCGGCCTCCTCCATCCCTGGCTTCCCGATCCCCATCCTGGAGGCCTCCCAAGTGGGGCCGGAACAGGCGGGGTCGGACGCTGACGTGTCGCCGAGGCACCAGCGACGCCGGGACGGAGAAAATCGTACCCTGGGTCCCCCCGCATCGCCGATGCGTCAACGATGCGGCGCACTCCTCCGACCCCGTCTACCGTGTGGCCAGAGCAGAAGGATGCTCCGTGAGGGCGCAGAGCCGTTGGACGCCCGCGAGAAGGCCGAAGCGGGAAGCTCGTGGCCCACGGCTGAGGGCTGGGGTGGGCCGAGAGGCCAGGACGCAAGGGCACTCTTGGAAGGATACGGTCAAAATCTGTAGTAAGGACGCGCTGTAAGGACGCAAGACCCTTGGACGATCCTTAGATGCCCCAGTTGAATCGTTTCGAGTGGCGCGCTGCCGCACAAACCTAAGGACACAAGGGCGCCTTGGGAAGGCTGCTCGTCCTCGCTGTGGATTCTCACTGCATGTGCTCATCCTCGTGACGCGGCCTGACTGCGCTCCCAGACACCCTCCGATGTGACTCGTCCGATCCGCGGCGCTGGAGGTCCCGACACCCGCCCCCCTGGGCGCAAGTTTTTGCGTCCCCGGGTCCACGCTGGGTGGCCCCAGGGTCTGACAACGGGCCCCGGGCGCCGAAGTCCACCGAAGCGCGCCCGGATCGGACCACAAAGCACGCCGTCGGAGAGCCGGGCCCTCTGCGCCCTCCGTTTGGGAGGCCCGTGGGCGTCCGACAGCCCCGGCAGCAGGGCACCTTGTCGGCCGGCTCGTTCTCCTCAGGGGCAGCGTCGGGAGGGGACGGGCTGCGGGGGGGAGGCGTCGACGACCCGTCGCCCACGAATCGCCGAGAAGGGCCCGCTAGCCCCACCCCGCCCAGGTCAGTGCGGAGGAGGAGGAGGAGGAGGAGGAGGAGGAGGAGGAGGAGGAGGAGGAGGAGGAGGAGGAGGAGGAGGAGGAGGAGGAGGATGAGGAGGACTCGCTATCGGGGGCAGCGAGGGAGCCGCCACGTTGCGGTCGGGAACTTTGCTTAGCGTGCCGCGCCGCCACTTCTGGCTCACCACGCCTCGCCGTCGCCGTCGTCGTCTTCGCCGCCGCCGCCGTCATCGTCGTCGTCGTCGTCGCCGTCGTCGTTGCCGTCCTTGTCGACGCCGTCGTCGTCGTCGTCGTCGTCGTCGACGCCGTCGTCGTCGTCGTCGCCGTCGTCGTCGACGCCGTCGTCGTCGTCGTCGTCGTCGTCGTCGTCGTCGTCGTCGTCGTCGTCGTCGTCGTCGCTGAACGCAGTCTTTTCTTCTCCGACTCCACCCAATTTCGCTGCTCCTCGACTCCTCCGCGCAGGCGCTCGCGTGTTGCGCCGGGAGGCGGGCCCAGCGCCTGTCCAGGAAGACCGCCCTCGGAGCTCCCAAAATCAGTGCTCGCGCACCTGGCCATCGCTCGGACGTCCATTCCCTCTGTTTTTTTTTTGGTTTCGTGCGTGGCTGTTTCGCCAGATGGTCAAGGATGCTCCTCGATGGTCCTCGCCGAGGGAAAAAATGCACACGCCCGAGCGATGCCAAGTGCACCTGTTTCTCCTTCGACCCCCCCCGGTGACGTTGGCCCCTCGACTCCTCCGCTCAGGAGCTCGCGCTGCGCTTGCAAGGGGGCCCAGCGCCGATCCAAGAGATCCGCGCGCGGAGCACCAACATTACATTACAGATGTGCAGGGCTTCCCTTTCGGCTAACATCTTCCACGTTGGGCTGTAGCCCGAAAAAGCCTGGGTCGTGGACAACACGTTCCTTTGGGAAGCCTCTTGGGCTCTCTTGGGAGGCGTCTCGGGAGCCTCCCGGAAGCGTTTTCTGGGCCTCGTGGGAACTCTTCTTGAGGTCTCTTGCGGGCCGCTTGTGCAAACAATGCGTGTCCTGTGCCTCCAATGGTACTGCTCGCGCCTTTCGCTTTCTTATCCCCGCTCCCTCCCCGAGTCTACGGGGAGTGGGCCTGCAATATGATGCTGCGACGCGTTTGCTGAACTTGAGCATATGGTGCTCGGTGGCCATCCCCATCGCGGAGGTGGGGGTTCGTTGTTTTGGCACGGCGAGGGCACAGGACATTTTGATACAAATGTCGGGGAACCAAACTTACTGGGTGTATCAACTCACTCCATCTCTGCCGTATCTTAAACGAGATACGCGGTGCTCCCCAGCCGGCTGGACGCGACGGGGCGGTAAAACCACCCCCAGAGCCACGCCCCCTTGTGAGGCGTGGGACCTCGAGGGGAAGGGCGCTGTCTCGGACTGCCTGTGGTACTTGACTTGTCCTCCTCCTCCTCCTCCTCCTCCTCCTCCTCCTCCGTGCCCTTGATGAGCTTGTTCACCCCGCGGGCGAGGTTCCCGCGAGGCGCCTTCCCGGCCCACCTCGCCTCATCAGACGAGGACTTCTCCAGGGTCTGAAGCCTCCTGGGCACATTCCTCAACGAACCTCCCCGCCGTAGTGATATTGGCTACACGGCCCCATGTACTAACAACAGTGACCCTAAGCAAAACTGACCTTTGGTGCTCGGCTTTGGGGGGGCGCGAGAGGGCCAAACCCAATCGCGCAGGCCGCTGCTATCGCATCGCATTCAGCGGTCGGGGGGGCCCAGTGGGCCCGCACCCAATGGTTACTCTGGCGAAGGGCCACTCTTATGTGGCGGATTTCGGAAAGCCTGAACCCAACAACGTTTCCATCTCTTGGGGACGCATCTCTCACTTTCGCCGACCTTCCGCCGCCTCTCCGTCGAGGAAGAGGTGCCAACTCCTCCTATCCTCGACGGCAAGGCCTCCTTTGGAACGCCCTGTGTAGCCGATGACCTCGCGTGGCCCCGTGACTCTGAAGGGGCCCTGGGACACACAAATAAATACACACAAATAACAGGACTCCCCACATGTTCCCCTATTTTCTGGCTTGTGGTCTTCCCCTCCCTTCCCACAGTTTCCCATATTTTCTGGTAATCGACGGTTGATTATGTCTGTGTGTCTTCTTCCCTGCCGCGGCTCCTCCGCGCACGAGCTCGCGTTGCCTCCTCCGCCGGCGCCCGCGGCCCGCCCGCTCCGCCGCGGCAGCTGCATGAGGGCCGCCTCCTCGGCGACCTGGCTGCTGAGGCGGCTGGGGGCCGCCTCTTGGCCCCCCCCCGGGGAGGAGGCTCCTCCTCCTCCTCCTCCTCCTCCTCCTCCTCCTCCTCCCTCCTCCTCCTCCTCCTCCTCCTCCCCTCCTCCTCCTCCTCCCCCTCCTCCTCCTCCTCCTCCTTCCCCTCCTCCTCCTCCTCTCCTCCTCTCCTCCTGCACCTCCTCCTCTCCCCTCCTCCTACTCCTCCTCCTCCTCCCCTCCTCCTCCTTCTCCGCCTCCTCCGCCTCCTCCGCCTTCCTCCGCCTCCTCCAACCCCCCCTCCTCCTCCTCCTCTCCTCCTCCTCCTCCTCCTCCCTCCTCCTCCTCCCTCCCTCCTCTCCTCCTCCCTCCTCCTCCTCTCCTCCTCCTCCTCGTCCTCCTCCTCCTCCTCCTCCTCCTCCTCTTCCTCCCCCTCCTCCCCTCCTCCTCCTCCTCCCTCCTCCTCCTCCTCCTCCCCTCCTCCTCCTCCTCCTCCTCCTCCTCCTCCTCCTCCTCCTCCTCCTCCTCCGTCCTCCTCCTCCTCCTCCTCCTCCTCCTCCTCCTCCTCCTCCTCCCCTCCTCCTCCTCCTCCTCCTCCTCCTCCTCCTCTCTTCCTCCGCCTCCTCCGCCTCCTCATCCTCCTCCCCCTCCTCCTCCTCCTCCTCCTCCTCCTCCGCCTCCTCCTCCGTCCCTCTCCCTCCTCCTCTCCTCCTCCTCCTCCCTCCTCTTCCCTCCGCCTCCTTCTCCTTCCTCCTCCCTCCTCCTCCTCCTCCTCCTCCTCCTCCTCCGCCTCTCCTCCCTCCTCCTCCTCCTCTCCTTCCCCCTCCTCCTCCTCCTCCTCCCCTCCTCCTCCTTCCTCCTCCTCCTCCTCCTCCCTCCTCCTTCCCTCCTCCTCCTCCTCCTCCTCCTCCTCCTCCTCCTCCTCCTCCTCCTCCTCCTCCCCCCCCGCCTCCTTCCTCCTCCTCCTCCTCCTCCTCCTCCTCCTCCTTCTCCTCCTCCTTCTCCTCCCCCATCTCCGCCTCCTTCTCCTCCTCGTCCCCCTCCTCCTCCTCCTCCTCCTCCTCCTCCTCCTCCTCCTCTTCCTGTGCTCTGGAGGGGAGGCTGCAGTTGCTCACCTCTTCTGGGCCGCAGACCCTCCCCCACACTTTGGGGCGTCGCCACGCCATGCTGTGTCATGCTGCGCGTTGATCTTCAACACCGTGCTATGCAACGCAATGCTATGCCATGCTGCGACGTCCGACTGTGCGAACAGAGAGGAGATTTACGCCATGGTAAGGGGTGGGAGGGAGGGGTAGGACGACTGAGATGACGCGGGCGCACCTGGTTTGTCTCTCTCTCTCTCTCCCCCTCTCTTCCTGCTCTTTGACTACTGCCTTCGCCCGGCCCCCCCCTCTCGGCTGCCCGCCCGCCCCGAGGGGGCCACGTCCTCCCGCCTGCGCGCTCGTCGTCGTCGTCGTCGTCGTCGTCGTCGTCGTCGTCGTCGTCGTCGTCGGCCTGCGCTTCCCTTCCTCTCCCCCGTTTGCCGGACAGCACAGCCTGTCCGGGGCCCTGAGTGATGGCGCGCAGGGCTCTGGCCTGAAGGGCCGAGGAGCCAGGGTTATCAGTGATGCTTCGTGGGAGGAGGAGCAGGACAGTCAGCGCCGAAGGCAGTCAGGAGGAGCAAGAACGTCAGACACCAGATGCGCGAACTTTTTAGCAGCGAGTGAGCGAGCTCTCGGCGCCTGCCAGCTCACAGCGCTGCTTGTGCATCGACCTGGCTGCAGCCGTGGCCGCACGGGAGGCGAAGTGCACCGAACGGGAATCGAAGCCACGAGGCGAGGAAGCAGCTCCGACTTTTTTGCGTCGGCGGCTGGGGAGGGGACGTCTGCGCTGGCGATGCGATGCCTCAACGTGGATGCCGCTAGAGTGAAGTGTGCCACCATGCAAGAGGAGGAACGGGGGGAGGGCGAGGCCGAAAGAGGGCCGCACGGAGCGAGCGGCGCAAGGGGGGACGGATCGCTCCCCGCCCCGCCGGCGAAGCAGCCCAAACATGCAACGTCTCGGACAAAAACAAAACGGATTCTCCCCAACCGCGTTTCGCTTGAAGATTCTGGTGGAGGTAGGAGGGGACCACAAGAGAGTCCCTCAGGGGGGACGGGCAGTCCGAGAACGCCGGTACCAGCAGCGGTTTCGCCGGAGACTTCCTCACGCTTTGTTCAGGAATCGTGCTCTCGCCTCAGAGAGGAGGCTGCTGTGGGAGGACGAGCGATCGAGCCGGAGAGCGCGCCACCACTGCGGAACATCTTCCGGGCTCATTTAAGGCTAGGCGGGCGAAGTCGAGTTTTTTTTTGTTTTTTTTGTTTTCTGTGTGTCTCTCTGTCTCTCTCTCTCTCGTGCGTGTATATATACACATATAATACATATGCGTGTGTGTGCTGCCGCGTGTGGAAAACATGCACGGGTGCTGCGAGGCAGCAGAACGTTGTGTGAGAGATGGGGGAGGCAGGAGGGGGAATCCTTGCAATCAGCGTCCTCGTGCGTAGGTGACGTTGGAGAAAAACAATCAGGACTGACTTGTCTGTATGTCAATGTTCGGCCTCCAGCGACCTCGCCTGGCCCTGGTGAAGGGGTCGGGGCTTCCAAGGGCCGCGTATTGAACGAATCAGGACATCACATGTCTGGGAAGGGATGGGGGAAGATGTGAAGGAGAGGAACGAGGAGGACCAATGTAAACCCAAGACCGCTCAACGATGTTGCAGTAAGCCCCCTCCCAAAATTCCCTTTATGAATCCCTACGAAGGTTCATCTTCACTGAAGGAAGTGCCCCGTTGGAAGATAACTGTGAGAAAACCCGGAACCGCGCCAAAACGCAACCTCTGGGACTTCAACGCCGAGGACCAACATTACTGTACGATTGCGTCCTGACGATCCTAGAGTGTGCCAGAACACCATTCCTGGGGCTTCAACACCGCGAATCAACGTACCTGGTGCGCCCTGACAGTCCTACATCGTGCCGAAACACCGTTCTTGGATGTGAGCCGTGAGAACCCTTGAAGCTACTGTAACATCTCAAAACGAATGTGCGCAACGCTACTGTGATAACCACATGTTGAATAAATACCGCCCTCCATCCGTGAAGCTCTTGCACACATTCAGAAATAATGTGCGCGGCGCTGAGGCGAGAACCGCAGCTTGAACTCCACCCGCCCTCCATCCGTGAAGCTCTTGCAGGATGTTGAGGCGAATGTGCGCGGCGCGAAAGCGGGAACCACATCTTGAACATCGCCAGCCCTCCATCCGCGAAGCTCTTGCAGAGTTTGAGCTTGAGGATCACACATGGCGCGAGGCACTCTAACGCGAAAAGCCCAGCCCGCCCCACCGGCACGCCTCGGGATGCGACAGAGACGAGATACTCGCAAGGAAAAGCGATGGGGCAGGAAGAGGGGACGGGCAGGAAGAGAACCGAATCGGATCGGATCGGATCGGCCCTGCGCGTGTCGTGTGATATGCAACAGTAAACTCCGTGTGGGACAGTATGCGCACCTGCTGCGGAGGAGGAGGATTGAGAAGGAGGAACAGCACGCCTAGTTTACGTTATGCTCTTGCGGAATGCTATTTCCACTTGCTCTCTTAGCCCATCTTCTTGCCTTGCCATACTACATATGCCTGTTGTTGCATGCCTGCTGAAACCCTGTCGCCTAAACGGGAGCCATCTTCTGTTATATTCATAGACGCGGCGATCTGATAATAATAGCCCGGGCAACGTAAAAAAGAAGAGGAGGGCATGTGGGGTCCCCTGGAGGTTTGCGGGGGGGGTCCTGGAGATTCTATCGGGCTCGTGAAGGCTCCTGCAGGTCACGCAGCGTGACCAGCAGGACCTTTCATTTTATGCGCTCAGAGCAAGCCCAAGAGAATCAGCAGGACCAGCCCCCAAGCGGCCCCCCCTGTGACTGTACTGGCGTCTTCGTCAACGACCTGTGGCAACCCACGTGGCTCGTCCGCCTCAGAAACAGCCACGAAGCCCGCGAGCATGACCGCTGCGGCCCGCCACCCCATGGGCGCCGTCAAGCGGGGAGGGCCGCGACTGTCTGACCGCCTCTGGGGCGCTCGACTCAGAATGGCTTGAGCTCGGATGGCTGCAATCGAGGGCCTCCGACAGGAAGGCTCGACTGAGGGCCAAGGCCGCCTTTCTTGCCAAGCTTGGCTGAGGCGGTAGGCTCGACCCCATGCTGAAATAACTGAGGGCCACCGAAATTTCTCCGAAGCAAAGCGTTCTGTTCTTCAACGCCCCGTCTGTGCTGAAACGAAGAAGGGGTGTGAGCCTGCTATGTCATCTCGCATCTTGTGGGGCACATCTGGGAGGCCTCTACCCTAATGTTGCCCCATCTTGGAGCATCTTGGACCATCCTAGCAAACACTTGGAACCGAACAGTGCGCTGGGAGGGGTCGTCCGAGCGATGGTAGGCACCTGTGGCCACGTGTGTATCAAGCACTCGCCCAGGCGAACCACGTCGTGCGTATCCAACTTCCTAGCAATCCTCACCCTCCTCTTGTTGAACAGGGACCGACCGTCCTGGCATCCCTACAGGCCTACCGCGACATGTTCCCATAACAAAAGGATGCTCTGATAACAAAAGCACGGTTAGTAAACCATAAGCCCGACGTATTCAAACAAGACGGTCTCAGCCAGACATGTTCGAAGAACACCTCGTGTAAACCAGAAAAAAGGTTCCTAGCACAGTCTGTGGTGGCCTATAGGCAAGCCGCAACGCCTCGCCACTGTTTGGTCTTGGCCTTCGCGCGGTGTCTACCTCCCCGCGCCGCGGCCGTCCTTGCGCCCGCTGACCACCTTGGAGCCGAGGGCGGTGCACGCGGCCTGGCGGAGCGCGTTGGGGGGACCCCCCCCCCTTCGGGGACTTACCCACCGACCCTCCGCCTGGGCGCATCAACGTCGTGTCGGTGGACACCCTCACTGTTTGCTTGTCTGGTTTTGCTGATGAGCTAACTGCGCATTTAAAATGCCGGGTGAAAGCCTCTGTATCGTGTGCTGCCGAGGAACCAACCGTTTGCCTATATACGCACATGGTAAAAACTCTTCCATTCATCCCGTAACAAAGAGTTGGGGTAGCGGTAGAGGTGGGATTTAGAGGAAGATCGCCCAGAACGGCCCCTGCAATGTAAGAGGGAAAAGTGAAGATCCAACTTGGTGCGTTCCCTGACCGCAAGTTGGGATAACCCCCCCTTCTACGAACCCCCGGCCCCTGCTCCGACGGGCGCTTCTGCGCTGGCACCAGAGGAACCAAAGCAGAAGGCAAACAAACACACCCTCACGTTATCACCATCATCATCATCATCATCATCATCATCATCATCATCATCATCATCATCATCATCATCATCATCATCATCATCATCATTACCATCAGCACCACCATCACCATAACCACCATCACCATCACCATCACCATGACCATCATCATCAACATCATCATCATAACCATCATAATCATCGTCGCCATCATCATCACCATCACCATCACCATCATTATCAACATCATCGTCTTCGTCATCTCCCTCCTCCTCTTCATCATCTGAATCATGATCATGATCAGGATTACGTTCATGATCATCATCAGCATTAACATCATCAGCATCATCCTCATCACCATCATCATACTCATACTAATCATCATCATCCTCATTGGCATCGCCATCGCCATCGCCATCGCCATCGCCATTGCCATTTTCATCATCATCATCATCATCATCATCATCATCATCAGCATCATCATCATCATCATCATCATCATCATCATCATCATCATCATCATCATTCTTACTATTATTCGTATTATTGTTATGGTTATTATCAATATTATTCATTCTTAGTATTATTATTATCATCATCATCATTATTAACATCATCAACAATATGATCGCCAGCACCATCCTCATCATCACCCTCATCATCAAACCAATAATGCCACCCTCACAATTCAGTCGGACATTTTTCCATAGCGTGTCGCCGCGGCGCCCCCGGCGACATGCTGTTCGCTGAGCGGATAGCGTGCCGCTCCGCTCCAAGGGGCGGGAAGCTGGGAACTGTTCGGGACGTGGACGCCTCACGACCAGGAAGTGGATAGTGCGTCGCTCCGAGGCGCGGTGGGCCAGAACCAGCGGGGCGACACGCTATCAAACAAAACCCGACGTTATGACCAAGACCACATAGTGGACGCCGCGTGTGAGGATCGCGGTTGTTTTCCTCCCGTGACAGAGTGAACCCGAGATGCTGCAACACACCCTCCCGTGCCAAGTCCCTCCTCATAAGTCCTGCAACCGTTCCTTATCACTGGTTGATGCGCTCCTTGATAGTCGACCACCGCGTGGGCCTGACTTTCAGCCCCGCTTTGAAATGGGACTGCCTTGCATTCTTCGAGCTACAAGGAATGCGAAGGGGTAGGATCAGAACGCTTGAAGACGTGAGCAGTGCGAGCCTTGGCTTGAGGAGGAACCGCCCTCGGCCGGTGTATTGATGCACAAACTTACACTTGCGGTGGTATGACTTCAAAAACCCTTCAACGAGAACACCATTTTGAAGATGACCCGCCCTCCGTCCGAGTAGCTGTCGCGGACTGTGTCGCTCATGTTTCGTCCCATTTTGAACACTGGCCGCTCTCCGTCTGTGTAGGTCTTGCACATTTTGTTCACACCTATGCTCATAGAATGAAAACTCGGCCCCCGCCCACTGGACTCCTTGGCGCGTCGGAGGAGAAGTGTGTGGTGGTGGCTTGGTGCGGTTCCCACCCACTACATTGTTATCCCGCGGCTTCACACGGATGCGAATCGATTTGTGCGTAGCCCGCCGTAGTCTTTGACCGCTGACAGGACCCTTCAGCGCGTCGGAGGACAATGTGTGTAGTGGTGAGTGGGTGGCGGTGGTGGCGGGTGGGGTGGAGTGGGTGGGTGGGTGGGTGTGGTGGGGGCGTGCGAACGACGGGTGAGAGAAGCCGAACGGTGAGCGGAGGTGGCAACAGCAACAAACTGGGGGCACTCGGGCTCGGAATCCTCAGCAGCCAGGGAGTTCCGGTACAGGAGCTGGCCGCAGCCAGCCGTCCTCGAAGTCGTCGCTTTGGTGCCAGCGGAGAAGGAGTCGGGGCAAAAAGAACGGCCACGGCCGATTTCTGGGCAGAGAGCAAAGCCGACACGTGCAGAAAACAACATTTAGCACTTATGTGTACGTGCTGTGCGGCCACGTCGTCGCCGCCTGCTTCAACCGTGCCACCCTCGAAGCTGTTGCGCGCGGCCACCTTTCAGTAATCACCCCTCCCCCCCGCCGCACGGTCATCTCCCGATATGCCTTTCTCTCATCAGCTCCTCCTCCTGGAGTCCTCCTCCTCCTCCTCCTCCTCCTCCTACGCCGCCTCCTCCTTCTCCCCCGCTTCTCCCAGCTGCTCGTGCTCCTCCCCCTCGTCCTGATCTGCCTCCTCTTTACTGTCTCTCCCTGTCTCCTCCTCATAGCCCTTCTCCTCCTCCTCTTCCTCGTCCTCCTGTAGCAGCGCAGGTGCTTCTAATACCTCGTGCCAGCTTGACGGCTACGTCTTGGGTCCGCCGAAACTCTTTTACAGCTGCACTGGACGATGATCCTGCTGCTGCTCCTCCGCACGGCCTTCGCGACATCTGGTCTACCCTTGGCACCCTCGACGACGAAGAAGATGGCGACGATGACTCTGCTCTGCCGCAAGTCTCTGGCCTCAACCCGAGGCGGGCCGTCAGTGCACAATCGCTCACCCTCCCTTCCTGACGATCTCGACGATGACGGCGATCTTGACGACGATATCGACGACGACGATATCGACGACGACGACGACGACGGCGTCGACGACAGCGACGATGACGACGGCGGTGGCGACGACGGCGGCGACGATGGCGGCAACTGCTGCTGCCTTGCAGAGGGCCGCCTGCTCGTCGGCCTGCAGGTCGATCACCTCCCGGCAGGCAGAACTTCGGCGGCCGCCGCAACGCGCGCGCTCCGATGCGGCACCGCGGCCGCCGCGCGCTGGCGCCGCCGACCCCTCCCCCCTCTTGGGGGGAGCGAACGGGGGGGACAGCAAAGGGTAGGGTAGAGAATCAGCTCACGCAGCCGATTTTCCCAGCGCCTCCCGGCGCCGGGAAGCGCCCATGTCTCGAGGAACGGGCCCGGCGGCGGGGCGGAAGCCAGCTGCACGGAGCAGATTTCGTACCCCCCTCCTTTCCCTCCTTTCCCTATCCCCCCCCTTTCGTTCGGCCCAACCCTCGGACGGACCAGGAGGGGGGCAAGACCAGCCAGCATCGAATCTGGAGGTCGGTCGGAAGAAGTGGGTAGGAACATGAACGAGGAAGGCGTTGAAAGCAGATTGGGCTTCCGCCCGCCCCTGAAGAGGAGGGAAGGAGGAACGCCGCTCGACCCTTAAAGTAGGAGGGCGCCTGAAGCAGATTGCGACTTGGGTAAGGATAAGGGTAAGGGTGGCACGGTGCTCTGTCTCTTCTCCACTCTCGATGGGTGGCCGTAAGGCCTCTCCAACCGCATCGGATCGCAACGTGCGTCGGATCGGGCTACGTCGGCACGGGGCCCGACTCGAATCGGCTCAGCTGCGCCAGGATGCACAGCAGCGCCATGCAAGCATCGGGCCGCACCGGCTCGTGGGACTCCCCGAACCGACCATCGGAGCCCATCGGGGAGCGGAGGGGGGGGGGACGGGGGCCACACGCCAGGCTCGGGCGAACGGTGTGGTCGGTGCACGGCGTGCTCTGGATCACGGCCCGTGCGGCAGCCCGTCGCCGACCCGGGAAACTGGCCTCCCGACAGGGCGCCGGCAACCTCTCACACCGCCGACCTCGCCTGCGACCCTGTCGTCCGCCGGTGTGGCTCTGCCAAGCCGCGGCCCCCGAGGTCCCGACACCTTCCCCGGGGGCAGCTTTGCGTCCTGGGTCCACTGTTGATGACCCCTGGCTCGCCATCGCTCGGACGTCCATTCCCTGTGTTTCTTTCGGTTTCGTGCGTGGTTTTCCCGCCAGATCATCAGGGATGCTCCTCGATGGTCCCCGCCGAAAGAAAAAATGCACACGTCCGAGCGATGCCAAGTCCACTGCTGAGGACCCCGGGGCCCAGCAGCGGGCCCCACAGAGGCCGACATTGGGAAAAAAACACGATCGCATCGTCGGGAGATCTGGGCTTTCAGGCCATACAGTCGGGGCGTTGACCTAAGGAACCCTGAATAAGGAACGGGGCCCCTTTTTTCCATAAGTTAATCTTCGACTTCCGATCGAAAACATGAGGAAAACCTGAGGCAGGCTGTGAAACACTTAAGGAACGCGGAGCCCCTCCCAAACCAAAAAGGGTTCCTTCTTCAGGGCCCCGACTGTAGCTCGGCCCTGCGGGCGGCCATGTGCGACGAGTTTGGCTCCTCTGGGGCGCAAGCGGCGAGGCGCGGCCGATGGGAGGCCTTCCGAGACGGGAACACCTCTGGGAGCCAGCGAGAAGCTCCAGCACGGACCTTCGGGATGCACGACGGACGCAGGGACCGACAAAACTCATAGCGCCGAAGATCTGGGCACGGTGAGACATCACACCTTTGTCCCAACCCTCCTGTGGTGTTGGGTCCTCGTTTTGACGAAGCAGCGCCCCGCGCTCCTTCTCCTTGTCAGTCTCCTCGTCCTTCTCCTTCTCCTCCCCCTCCTCCTCTTCCCCCTCCACCCGTCCCTGCCTCTGCCGTCCGCATGTCCGCCATTTCATCGCAACCAAAACAACGCTTCGTGGCCCTATAGGGAGCTCTAACGAATGCCCCAGTGGCTGTGATCACATACGTCCCCCCAATTTCGGCACACCGCTCACACGTTTCGTGGCCCCAGAAGGAGCTCTACTGAATGCCCCAGTGGCTGTGATCATACGCGTCCCCGCCACCAATTTCGGCACACCCCTCACACGTTTCGTGGCCCCATAAGGAGCTCTACTGAATGCCCCAGTGTCTATGATCACACGCGTCCCCGCCACCCACGTCGGCACACCCCTCACACGTTTCGTGGCCCCATATGGAGCTCCACCGAAGGCCCCAGTGGCTGTGATTACATGCGTCCCCGCCACCCATGTCGGCATACCCCTCACAAGTCTCGTGGCCCCGAAGGGAACTCCGTCGAAGGTTCCAGTGGCTGTGATCACGTGCGTCCCCGACACCAATTTCGGCGCACCCCTCACACGCTTCGCTGCCAAATATGTAGCTCAGGGAGCTCCACCGAAGGCTCCAGTGGTTGTGATCACGTGCGTCCCCGCCACCTGTTTCGGGAAACCCCTCACACATTTCGTGGCCGCATGGGGAGCTCCGCCGAAGGTTCCAGCGGCTGTGATCACATGCGTCCCCGCTACCATTTTTGGCACGCTTCGCCACTGCTTGATGGTTGGGTCCTTCGCCAAGATAACTTAATGGCAACTGGTAACCATAAAACCACCACAATCTTTTTATGGCTACCAGATGTCGTCAAACAAACGTGAGAGACTTTTTGTCTGGCTGTCCGTTTTTGTATGGCTGCCAGCTGTAATTCAACAGCGCATGGTGGGGCACCGCGCCGTCACGTGGCGCACCGTCTGCCAGCGGCTAGCCATGGCGCGGGCAGCGCCGCCCGTCCGAACGCCCCTTGGCAGAGCCCGGCCGGGGCCCCGCGGGCCCCCCCCGAACACGGCCAGCGTTGCCACGATGGCGTGCGAAGTGGCGCTGCCGGCCTGCTCATTTTCACGCCACATACCCCCACCTTGGGGATCGCGTGCACCAGAGAAGCCCTGTCAGGGGGGTAGCGTGCACAGCAGGGGCCCTCGTGGGGAGAGCGCCTCAAGAGGATAGCGTGCTTTTCGGAGATCGATTTCGCACGCTATCTTTGCAACGCACTGCTTCATTAAGGATCGAAGCGATGAGTACGGTGGCTGCTACGCATGCCGCTCGAGGAGGCTCGCGGGCCAAAGCGCTTACAATTCGGGTACACGCTGCGAAGATGCATCCCCTCACCATGCACTGCTGTGTAACTGCTGCCTGCTACTTGCCTGCTTTGCACAACCTGGCGGGCCGCACTCAGGCGCGACCCAGGTGTGCTGGCGGCGTGAACAAAAATACGACGGAAGGTTTTTGCTGGCCTTTTGTGGTTGGGCGTGACTTAACGGGGGGGTCATAAACGGGGGGGTCAGAAACGGTCCCCATTTCGTGCCCCTTTCGGGCTCCTCCGGAGCCCCAGGGGGCTCGTTTAGGTACCGTTTGGGTACCTTTTCGGACCACCCTCGCCACCCCCCCATTTATGACCCCCCCATGACGCGACGCCCAATGTGGCCTCCAAATGCCTTCGCCGGGCCTGGGGATCGTCTAAAAGCGGCTCAGGATGAATCAAGAGCCGGCCCTGTGGAAAATGTCGGGACGTCCCGTGGCCAAAAGTCGCAAACATCTAGATCTCGGATGTCTGGGTTGGGCTGCTGGCGTGCGAGAGAGAGGATCGGTCCTGGTCGGCCCTGCGCTGGAAGATCCCAGCTCCGAACTTCACTGCACAATGCCACTTAGTCCGTGCCGAGTCGGCCTGCATCGTCTAGCTAGCGGCGGGCGGAAGGAAGGGGGAAAGAGGCGGGCGGATGGGAAGAAGTTGAGCGAGCCGCGAGCTTTTCTCCTTCGCCCTCCTGGGGGGGGGGGGAGGGCGATGAGGAGGATCAAGCAGTCACAGTAGCCGATGCTGATAAGAAGTCCGAGATGCGGCCGTGTGCGTCATGCTCCTTCGTGCCCTGTGGCCGAGACCCGCCCTCGCCGCAAAAGGGCCTTCGCGATGGCCTGCACGCGCTGCACGGCCACCTCGGTCGCGGCGCCGGGGGCGAATGGGGGAGGGCGCACTGCGTGAGAGTACGGCATGCCTGCGCGCGCACGTACACACATACACATACGTGGAGCGAGGGCCACGCACATACACACATGTGTACATATATATATATATATATATATATATGTAGACGGATGTGCACGCACACATAGTACTATGTAAACATCTATGTATACATGAATACATATAGACATAAGGTGATAACGAGAGGGTTACAGTTGTACAAACACACATGTATGTATTACTTATACATGGGGGAAAGATGGTGATGCTGAGGCGCTCATGAGACGTGGCAATCCTTGCGCGATGAGGCCTGAGAAGACAGGCAGCCGCCAGAGAAGTGGAACAGAGCACGGCACGCCAAATGCGTGACGACAATTTTTTCACTTACCATCAAAGCTGCAATGCACACACACACACACATCAGGGACAAACAACTCAAAAAAAGACCACATAAGAACATACCAAACAAACCATGCCTTAAGACACAGCATCTTGTGTTGCTAGGCTCCCATGGTAGAGCCAACCTGGAGGGAATTTGAACAGACCGCCGTGATAGACGCTCTAAAGCATCAAAGTGTCGAACGCCCGACTGAAAGCGGTATTGTACCAGAGCGGTAACATATTCAGAGAGAGAGAGAGAGAGAACAAACAAAACGAGAAAGTGAGAGAGATAAAGATAGATAATGCTAATTTGCTGTGAAGCGTAGCCTCAAGTGGCATGGCACCGCACCGCAAGCCGTGGAATGTCACAGCGTCCAATCTTGCACCGCAGCGCGAATTAGCATTGTGTCGCATGTTCTGGCATCTCATACCAGGCGGTGAGATAGTATAGTTCCAGATGGTAGTATAACGCAATATGCACTTGCAGCAACTACAACACCGTTGCACTATTGCAGTCGAGATCGTTTCCATCCGCACAATCATCACCAATCTCAATGCCATTTCCCACATTATTGCCATCTAGCCTGTGCAGGCTGGCGCAACGTCGCGTTGCGTAACTTCCCAGCGTGGTACACGTGTGCGTTCGTTCTAGTTGAGCAGGGGGGGAAAGGGGCGGCAGAGACAGATGCATACACTTTCATGTGCATACGTACACGTCTGTAGAATGCTGTGTATGTGTATGTCGGTGTATTCACACAGACAGACACACACGTACATTCATATCTCTCTCTATATATATATGTATAGATACATATGTAGATACGTGTGCAAATACGCGATTCAAAACACACACATATATGCACATACATATATATATATATATATATATATACACATCTCGATTCCCCAATCAGAGCTTGCATCTGTAGGGGTCCTAGCGGATTCATATGGTTAGGTGAGGCGGGTCGCCGATTTCGGTGGCCGGCCCGGGTGCCCGGGCGCCTGGGTGCCTGGGTGCCCGGGGGTGCCCAGGTGCCCGGGTGCCCGGGAGTGCCCGGAGGTGCACGGGGGTGCCCAGAGGTGCCCGGGGGTGCCCGGGTGCCCTGGTGCTCTATAGCGCTATAGCCCTATAGCCCAATAGCCCAATAGCCCAATAGCCCTATAGCTCTACATCCCTATAGCCCTATAGCCCTATAGCCCTTTAGCCCTGTAGCCCTATAGCCCTACAGCCCTATAGCTCTCTAGCCCTATAACCCAATAGCCCAGTAGCCCTATAGCCCATGTGGCCCTATAGCCCTACAGCCCTACAGCCCTACAACCCTATAGCCCTATAGTCCTATAGTCCCATAGCCCTAACACAAACATCGGATTTGGCTTATCTCCGGTATCATATGTATATATAGAGGGAGAAATACATGACGACATATACAGTCGTACATATATATATAGAGAGAGAGAGAGAGAGAGAGAGAGAGGGAAAGAGAGAGAGAGAGAGAGGGAGAGAGAGAGAGAGAGAGAGAAAGGGAGGGAGAGAGAGAGAGAGAGAGAGCAAAACAAAAACAAGCAAGCGCACACACAAAAACCAAAGGAGGGGGGCCAGCACTGGCAAACCGTGCCGCGCGCCCGGCGCATGGCGGCGCCGCTCTCCGCTCTCGCGGAGGCCCCCAGGAAGCGGCCTCTCGCGCGGACGTAGCGCCGCGGGCCCCTCTCCGCGGCCCCCCCCCGCTCCCGGGGCACCCTGCAGCGCGCCTCCCCCCATGCTCGGCGGCGCGCACGGGGCGGTGGGGGGAGGGGGGTCGAGGAGGAGGAGGAGGGAGGAGGAGGAGGAGGAGGAGGAGGAGGAGAGAGGAGGAGAGGAGGAGGAGGGAGGAGGGAGGAGGAGGGGAGGAGGAGGGGGAGGGAGGAGGAGGAGGAGGAGGAGGAGGAGGAGGAGGAGGAGGGGGAGGAGGAGGAGGAGGAGGAGGAGGAGGAGGAGACCGCGGAGGAGATCCAAGGAGGGGGGCGGGGGGGGGGGGGGGGAGACGGCGGCGCGCACCGGGGGGTGGAGGGAGGGGGAGGGCTTCCTATAGAAGGAGGCTGCTTCTCAGAAGGCGCCAGCTCGAGATCTGCGGAGCAGGCCCCGCGCCTCCCAAGAAGCAGAGGTGCTTCTAGGAGGCCTTCCCCCCCTCCCCCAAACAGCCTTGTGCGCGCGCCGCCCCCCCCATCCCCACCCCTCCCGCAGAGAGGGCGTCGAACAGGCTCGCTCGAGTTACGAGGAGAACCCATAGGTGGCGACATCCAAGCCCTGCCCCCACCAATCATCGCTTCTCCTGGGTCGACAGGCGGCGCGGGCAGGGTTCGGACTTCGCCACGTGTTCGACGAATTTCGAACCCTACCCCCGCCGCCCATCGAGTCGCCGCCGAATCCTGGAGGCCCCGCGCGGCAACTTGAGACCCAATTTACGCCGGATCCACGCGGGATTCACGTCGGACTTACGTCGGAACAGCGCCGCGCGAGCGTCGTCCCAAATCTGACAGGGCGTACGTGATGATGCTACTATTACGCGCCGCGCGGGACCGCTGACATTTTCCTCATAGCCTGAAGGTTCGCTCGCTTTGCTGGTATCGGCCCGAGTGCCATGGAAGCGGTGTCAGGAGACAACTTCTTCGAGGTCTTCGTGGGAAGGATTGACGATGATTAAGCCCGAGTGGGGGTTCATTGAGCCGGATTAATCCAGATTGAGCGTGATTATGCCGCAGTAGGTCTGTCTTCGACCACGAACACACCAGCGCCGATGCTGAATTAACATCTCAGGAGTTGCATCCTGAGCGGTGCACCAGGGAAATACTTGTGCATGACCAGGTCCAAGGAGGAGGAGGAGGAGGAGAAGGAGGATAAGGAGGAGCAGAAGAAGGTGGAGGAGGAGCGGGAATGGGCTGCACTGGCAAGTGAAAGCAGCAAGCCGTGTTGCGTGGAAGCCTCTGGCGGCCCCAGGGGGCGCGCAACCAACGACACTCACGACTGGAGCCACAGGTCCCATCTTTCTGCGGCGTGCAGTGGAGGCCAATCCACAAGAGACCTTCCACGAGAAACCCGACCCTGAGACCCCAGGATGTCCCTTGACTTCTGGCGCGGGAACATCGCGCTCTCCACAGCCATCGAAACCCAAGAAGCCCGGGGCGTCGTGGAGGCCAGCATGGGCGCTTCCCAAGGTCTGTCGAGCTGCATCGGTCTGTGATGGTCCCAGGCTTAGTGGGCCCTGGAAACGACAAGGCCGTTTTTTTACCGGTTCCGTTTTGCCGTTTTTGTTGCCGGTTCCGACGCCGTTTTTTTACCGGCTCCGTCGCCGTTCTTTTGACGGTTCCCGCTCCGGCTCCAATCCTGGAGCCGTTTTCGTTGCCGTTTCCGGTCGCCGTTTTCTTGCCCTTTCCATTTTCAAGGGGCACTCTTTCTCGGAAACGGTGAACAAACGGCCCTGCCGTTTCCGGGGCCCACGAAGGTCCCGGAGTCCGAAGCATGCGACGCCGCCCGCTGTGAAAAAGATATGCAGCGCTGCGGGGCGGGAAAATGACCACAGCCACTGCTTCTTGTTTGCGCCGCCTTCCAGCCGGCCGAAAAAGAAGCAGTGGTTGGGGTCATTTCCCTGGTGCCAAGCTCAACGAAAATGACCACAGCCACTGCTTTGTTTCTGCGGGCTGGAAGGCGGCAACAAAAGAAAAGCAGTGGCTGTGGTCGTTTTCACGCCCCGTAAGCGCCTGGATCCCACGGGCCCTGGGAGGGCGCTCGACCCGCAGCGCCCGCGACGTGGCCTCGCCGTGGCCTCGACGCGAGTCTGCCGCGAGCGCGGCGAGTGGCGCGCGGGGCGTGCTTCTGCATGCCGTCCCGTAGCCCTCGAGGAGGAGGGGGGCCCAGCTCGAGGAGGAGGAGGAGGAGGAGGCGGAGGAGGAGGAGGAGGAGGAGGAGGGAGGAGGAGGAGGAGGAGGAGCAGGAGGAGGATGAGGAGGATGAGGGAGGAGGGAGGAGGAGGAGAGGAGAGGAGGAGGAGGAGGGAGGAGGAGGAGGAGGAGGAGGGGCGGGGGCCGGCGGCGCGGGCGGCGGGCACCTCGCAGGCCTTCTCGTAGCCGTGGGCGATGCGGAGCGGGTGGATGCCCTTCTCGATGAGGTCCATGGCCTGAGCCGCGGGGGCCCCGGGCCTCCGGCGTCTGGAAGAGGGGCACTGAAGGGGCCCCAGGACACACAAATAAATACACACAAATAAAAATATCTCTAATATTTTCCAATATTTTCTGGGTTTTTGTCTTCCCCCCGACTTCCCATATTTTCCAATATTCTCTGGGGAATGGACGATTAATTGTGTCTGTGTGTTTTTTTCCCTCCTGAGGCACGGCGGGAGTCGTCGTCGGTGGCTGTTGACAGTCATCTGCACGTGTAGCTACTCGCCCATCGCAGAGCACTGCAGCCAGCAGCGTGCCACATGCACACTTTTGCGGTCGTCATGCCTTGGCCGCTGCAGGCAGGAGCTGTCCTGAAGAGGCCCTGGAGGCCGAAAGCTAGACAGATCCACTGAACAAAGGCACGGGCTTGAGAACGCCATACGAGTCAGGGGTCGGGAGCTTTTGCTAAGCGAGCATGTCGCGGCGGCGGCCCCGGCGAGACGCTGTGCTCTGCGAGCTGATGACGTGTCGCCCCGCTCCGCAGGGCGGGAGGCTGGGAAAAGCTTGGGACGTTGACGCTCGTAGCTTGGAAGTGTGTGGCGAGTCGCGCCGAGGCGTGGTGGGTCAGAACCGGCGTCGCGACACACTAATCACAAGTTCTCGACCGTGTACTTGTGGAGGCCAATGTCGGGTCTTGGCACCATCGAAACCCCCGCGTGAAACACCGATCTCGGGGAAGGCGTCGAGAGTCCTGGTCGCCAGCGTCGTGAGCAAAAACCGCGACCTCGGAGGTCTCATTGGGCGGTCTTCCACGGTTGCCGCGCCCCTCCCCCCTCCTCCTGGGGTGCCTCCCCTCCCGCTCCTTCTCCTCTTCCCTCCTCCTCCTCCTTCTCCTCCTCCTCCTCCTCCTCCTCCTCCTCCAACTCCTCTTCCCTCCTCCTCTCTCTTCTTCCTCCTCCTCCTCCTCCTCCTCCTCCTCCTCCTCCTACCTCCTCCTCCTCCTCCTCCTCCTCCTCCTCCTCTTCTCCTCCTTCTCCTCCAACTCGTTCTGCTCCTCGGCCCTTTTATTCTTCTGGCGGACGGCCCAAGAGGCTTCCAAGACGCCCCAAGAGGTCTCCAAGCGGCCTCCCGAGGAAGCCCCAAGCGGCCCAAATCATTGATGTTCCCTTGGTTCATCGAGGTGTTCGGTCTTCTCGCCTCTCGGCTCTCCGACGCTCCAGGACAGCCCAAGAGGCCCCCAGGATCGCCCCAACTTTGCCCAAAAAAGGCCGCCAGGACGGCCCCTGGACGGCCCAAGAGGGCCCAAAGAGGCGCCCAAGGCGGCCCAGGAAGGCGCGGTCCTAAGAGGGGTCCGAGAGGGGTCCCACGACCCGAGATCTCGAGCTCTGCACCCCAAGAGGGCCTCAGGAGGCCCCCAAGAGGGCCCCCAAAGGGCCCCAAGAAGCTCCCCAAAGAGGCCCCCCAAAGAGGCCCCAAAGCGGTTCCAAAACGGCCACCAAGAGGCCTCGAAACGGCTCCCAAGAGGCCTCCCGCGACATCCCAGCGAAAATCCAAGAGGCCGACGACCCAAAACCCAGATACGGCGGCGGGATGGGCCGACGGCCACTACATCCGCCGCCCCCTGCTTGCAGGGGTGCACGGCGTGCTGGACGTTTCAGGTTTTGGTTTTGGTTCTTTTTCTAAAAGAACTCCCCAGTGGGCTTCAGCCCGTCCCGCCGGCCACCCGTAATTTTCCCAAAATCCGTCTGTCAATGCCTTTGTTGCCCCAACTTGGCCCAAGATGGCCTCCAAGACGGCCAAGATGGCCCAAGATGGCCTCCAAGATGCCTCCCAGACGGCCAAGATGGCCTCCAAGACGGGTAAGATGGCTCCAAGATGCCTCCAAGACGGCCCAAGATGCCCTCCAAGACGGCCAAGATGGCCCCAAGATGCCTCCAAGATGGCCCAAGAGGCCTCCAAGACGTTCTCCAGGAGAGCCCGAAGAGGCCAAAATCATTGGTTTTCCTTAGGTTTTTGAAGGTTTTTTGCGTTTTCTTCTTTTCGGCCTTCCGACGGCCCAAGAGGCCCCCAAGATCGCCCAAGAGGCCTCCAAGAAGGCCCTATGACGGCCCAAGGGCCCCCCAAGACGGCCCCAAGAGCGCCCCAAGACGGCCCAAGAGGCCTCCAAGACGCCCAACATGGCCTCCAAGACGGCCCTGAAGCGCCCCAAGAGGGCCCCAAGACGGCCCAGAGAGGCCCCCAAGACGGCTCCAGACGGCGTCAGACGGACCAGGAACGCCCTAAGACGGCCAAAGAGACCCCCAGGAAGCCCCCAAAGGCCCCCAAGAGGCCCAAGGAGGCCCCCAAGATGCCTCCAAGAGGCCTCGAAGAGGCCCCCAAGAAGCCCCCAACAGACCCCAAGGGTGCCCCAAGAGACTCCTAACAACCCTCATCCTCCTACTCTATTTCTTCCTCTTCCTCTTCCTGTTCATAATCATTCTCTCCCATGTGTTCCCCGAAAGCTTTCCAAACCGACTCGGGGAACTCATGGTCCGATAGCTTGGCCAAGCTCTAGTCCAACTTTCGGCCACATCGGCGTTTCCAAAAAGGCAGGGGGCGGCGGTGATTCGCCGTAGGCGTCTTCGATATGTGTGTGTGTGTGTATATATATATGCACACATGTGTGTAACATCCGTTTTTACAATACATCACATGTGCATGGAAATGACGAGTAATGGTACAGCGTGCCGGATTCAAACTGATGTCGTCGGACTAGCGTGGCCGGTCGCGCAGTGGTAGGTGTAAGCGCAGACACCAAACCTGCGGCACTGGTAAGCGTCGATGCCGCTCCAAGTCTTTCCCGATCTCAAGTACAGACGACAGTGCGTGCACGTGCGCAGACAGTGGGGCAAAACCAGTTCCATATACAAGCAGGGCGCTTCCATGGTACACGTGCACGCGCAGGGAAGGCAGGACACAGTTAGCGCGGCAAAGAATCGGCACGACCGACATCGCTCCAAGTGCCAATTCTGGTTGTTAACGTTGGTATCCATTTTTGTTGTTTCAGCGCTATTTTGGAGAAGAGGGGGGAAGAGGCGAAAGGGAGACATCGTACACATTTGATCATCGACCACCTCGGATTCATGTTAATGTCACCGCGGATGCCCACGTCATTGTCTCTCACAGCGCCAACACCGTCTTGCACACTAACGCGGCTCCGCGTGCGATGCTGCAGCACAGGACGGGGGGCATCCCCTGAGGGACTCTTGCTCCGGCGAGTCACGCTGGGCATCGCTCGGACGCCCATTCCCTGTGCTTTCCTCGGTTTCGTGCGTGGTTTTTTCTCGCCACATGATCCAGGAAAAGTGCACGCGTCCGAGCGATGCCAAGGAGGAGGAGGAGGAGGAGGAGGAGGAGGAGGAGGAGGAGGAGGAGGAGGAGGAGGAGAAGGAGGAGGAGGAGGAGGAGGAGGAGGAGGAGGAGGAGAAAGAGGAGGAGAAGGAGCAGGTGGTGGATATAAGGAGGAGGAGAAGGAGGAGGAGGAGGATGAGGAGGAGGACGAGGAGGAGTCCAGCCTCGCATCCAGGAGGGCGGCGCGAGGGCGGCGCGAGAGGTGGCCGCGGCTCGCGCGAATGATGCTCCTCGATAGTCCTCGCCGAAGGAAGAGTGCACGCGTCCGAGCGATGCCACGAGCGTGTCCCTCCGAGCCCGTTTCGCGTTCGAGCTGCCGCCTCGCGGCGCGCAGCGGGAGGGGGGGGGGACGCCGAGGAGCGGCCTGCTCCAGCATGGCCCCCGCCATGACCACGATGCCCGTGGTGCCGTCGCCGATCTCGGCGTCCTTTTGGCGCGCAGTCGCGGACAGGGCTGAACCTAGACGGTGTTTTTCGTTTTCGTTTCGCTTTCGTTTTCCTTCGCTCTTGTCTCGCATCCGCCTTTCTCGCAAAACGAAGTCGAAGCGAACACGGCCCGCGAAATCACCCAAAACACCGTTTAGGTCCAGCCCTGGTCACGGAGACACCCCTGCTGGCTCACAGGGGGGGGGGAGGATGCAGAGGAGCGGCCCGCCACACCCTCTGGAGGAGGAGTACGAGACAAGGGAGACCAGGCGCATAAGGGGGGGAGGAGGACGAGAAGCAGGAGCAGGGGAGGACGAGAAGGGGGAGGAATGGGATAAGGAGCGGGAAGATGAACAAGGGGGAGATCCAGGAGGGAAGCGGGGAGGGTGAGGATTCAGTTGATGACGATGACGATGACGATGACGATGACGATGACGATGATGATGATGATGATGATGATGCTGATGATGATGAGGATGATGATGATGATGATGGTGATGATGGTGATGATGGTGATGATGATGTGGTGGTGATGATGCTGATAATGACGATGAGGCACTCTACACAGCGAGCGCAGTGTGTAACAGAGTGAATCCATGCTGCCCGCCACCTCTACGCAACCAAAGCAGCCCACGCGCAGCTTGCATCGAACACTCGACACCAAAAAGGGGAACACCATGACACGACTGTTTTAATCCGCTGCCCCCCCCTCCCCACCCAAAAGGGGACGTCAAGCCGTGAGACTCCCCTGGACGGCGTTTTTTTTCCGTCTTTGTATGTTTTGTTGTGTTTGTTTGAGTGTTTGTGTTGGTGGGTTGGGAGTGGGGGAATGTGGGTATTTTTTGTGCATTTTATGCTGTTTGCCTTTCCTCTCTCTACATACTTCATGTAGACGGACCCACGTAATCATGCACATGTGCACATCTATATATATATACACATGCGTATCTATGTGCATTAATCTATCCATACCTCTATATCCATATATGTATATATACATATATTCACACAATTGTGCATAAGTGTGTATATATATGTGTGTACGTGTGTGTATATATATATATGTACATGTGTCCCCGAAGACCTCGAGCATCGCCTCTGGCTGTGCCCACCGTGGGAAGACCCGCACCGCGCTGTGGCTGCCGCGCCACGCACGGAGACGCTGCCTGGGGGACGCCGCGGCACGACGGGGCCCTGCTGCCCGCCGGTGCCGCCTCGACGGGGGTCCTGGTGCCGCCGCCGCTGCAGCACCAGGAAGCTGGAAACATACACATGGCTGGATCAACAATAGGGAAACGAGCAATGACATAAACATAAAAACTCGGAGGTCCGCGCGGATTTCTCGGATCCGCACTGGAGCCCCCTGGCGGCGCCTCCGGCGCCGCCCCTGGCGCGCTTTGCGCGCCAGGGAGGGGGGGTCCAGCGCGGATGCGAGAGATCCGCGCGGACCTCTGAGTTTTTCTGTTTATGTCATTCTGCGTTCCCCTAAACATGTGGGACATCTGGATGCCACTTGCTGGATATACATGTGGAGGACCGCCGTGCTCGGCCAGACGAGGGCCGAGCGCCGGAAAGATTTGTGGCCACGCCTGGATTCGGCACTCGATGTGTATCCAGCTTGTCCCGCTTCCTGGTAAAGGCCTCCCAGATGGAGTCCGGAGCAGATGGGGTCGGAGGATCGCGCCGCATCGCCGATGCATCGGCGATGCGGCTCGATGTCGAGCCCGACTCTCTCTCTACACCGACGTCGCCGATGCATCGCAAGCGCCGGAGCATCTACGATGCATTGGCGATGTATCGGGGATGCGTCGGCGATGCGGCGCGATCCGAAGCACCCAGCCTCACGGTGTGGAGCGATGGTGCCTGCCTTCACCCGGCCGACCCGCTGCTGGCGCGGGCGGCGCGGGGCATGCTACGCGAGGGGCTCGAAGCCCCGAGTCTCACTTGACCCGTTGACGGTCTTCAGACTGCTTAGTGGGGCTAAGTGGCAGCTGCCACCACATGCCAGCTGCGGCGCGGCGTCTGGGCCTCAGTGAACGCGACCGCCTCGGCAACGCTGCGGCCGGCGACAGCGCTGGCACCTCCGCTGCGCAGCGGGCGCTGCCTTGCGAGATGCTGCGCGCCCGCCGCAGTGAGCTGGGGCTGCTGGAAGCGGCGCAGCGGGTGCAACGGTAGAGGGAAACAATTACTGAACACTCCCCCTCCCCCCCAAACTCAATGTTGACACGCGCGGGGGAGACTGCGGTCGAAGTGTATCTCATCAGACCCACCGCCAACTTTGAACTTTGGGGGGAGGGGGAAGCGTTGACGGATGAATGTGGCATGTGTTCGCCAATTTGTTCCGGGGCCTGAAGCAGCTGCCCAGCGAGCGGCCCCGGCTGCTGCGCCAGCACGCCACCGCCGCGGCTGGCGCGTCTGGCGCGCGGTCCGCCGCGGAGCTCGTGCTGGCGCGGCGCGGCGTCCGTCCTAGCGGGCTCCGCCCCCGCCGATCGCGCCCGCGCGGCCCCGCCGGCGGCCCCGTCGCGCAGGAGCGACGGCGCCGAGCCCGTCAGCGTTTTGGCGCCATGCTCGCGCCCTCCTCGCGGGGCGCTCGCGGTGGCGGCGCTCCCTCGCGCACGGGCCTGGCCAGGTCTGCCGCCCTTCGCCGCGGTGGCAGCGCCCAGATCGTGGGCGCCGTGCCGGGAAGGGCAGGTCCGAGATCGGCAGGAACGCCTGCCAGCGCGCGGGCAGGCCCTGCTCCTCCTCGGCGACCTGCGCTGCGTCGGGGCCAGCGCTTCAGAGTTTGCCGCTCTGGCTGCGCGCCGCATTTCGCAGCTGCCGAAGGACCCCCCACTGAGTCGGCACCGCGGTGGGCCGCTGGCGGCTGCGCCGTTCGCCCGATGATCACAAGTGAACAACAAATGTGCGCGTGTGTAGCCTGCTGACCCTCATCAACAATGCTGGATGGTAAGCATCTTGCCTGTCTACTTCCCATGCAAGACTTTGCGACAGTGTTTTCACCTGGCCGGCGGAAAAACATTGTGTGTTGTGTGTATGTTGTGTGTATGTTGTGTGTGTACGTGTGTGTGTGTGTGTGTGTGTGTGTGTGTGTGTGTGTGAGTGTGTGTGTGTGTTGGTGTGTGTGTGTGTGTGTGCGTGTGTGCTTGTGTGTGTGTGTGCGTGTGTGTATGTGTGTGTGTGTGTGTGTGTGTGTGTGTGTGCGTGCGTGCGTGCGTGCGTGCGTGCGTGCGGGCGCGGGTGCGCGCGCGTGTGTGTGTGTGTGTGTGTGTGTGTGTGTGTGTGTGTGTGTGTGTGTGTGTGTGTGTGTGTCTGTGTGCGTGTGTGTGTGTGTGTGCGTGTGTGTGTGTGTGTGTGTGTGTGTCGGTGCCCCCGTTTAGCTCTAGCGCTGGTGCAGTCAACTCTGCCGCGCCGCCGACGAAAAGCGTGCGTGCGTGTGTGTGTGTGTGTATGTGTGTATGTGTGTGTGTGTGTGCGCGTGTGTGTGTGTGTGTGTGTGCCCCACCACCGTGGCCGCTCTAGTCTAGGTTGCTCCAAGATTTCCATAAGGACGCCACCGGATGGTTCAGAGGGCCGACGAGGCCTCCAAGAGATCCCCAAGATGCCCGAAGAGAAAACCACGAGCAATGTGTGCGACTAGTTCAACGGTCTCGACGTGGATGTGTCCAAACACGTCATTTGCGAGAACACTGGACCAAACATGCGACAAGTCGCAGGGTCGCGTCGTGGATGTGCGGAGAAACATATCGACTGTCAATACTCTGGACATGCATGTGTCCAACCACATTACGTTTGGTTGCGCTGACTTGCTCACGCCATGTCATTTGCTGCGCATTTCTGTATGGACGCGCTCAAACACACTACAATAACAAACTGCTGGAGATGAAGCGAACCGAAGGTGCCGGGAGGGGACGGGAGGAGAGTGGACGGGGGACGAGAACTGACGATAACGGTGAGCGTGTGAGTGGCCCAAGGAGGAATGGGGGAGGAAAGGAAGGGGGAATGGATGGGCTAAGAGGGTCCGCACATCGCGACCCCCGATATTTTTCAACGATGGCTGCGCCGACGGCGACGACGAGGGCCAGGGATGGATGCGACGGGGGGATGTGAGGATCGTTGAAGGTGTGGGAGTGGATGAAGCTTACGAAACAAATAAAAAACCGAGCTACGAACCGCGATCTCAAAATACATTCCTGTAGGCTCTGCAGACTTGCCATCTCGCAGGATTGCCATGCGCGGCCACATGTTGCCATGCTTTTTTCAAGTGCTCCGATAACGCAACAATGAATAACGTGGGGTGCCACCTTCATTCTTGCAGCAATGTCCAACCACAGGATGCGGAACAGCAGCCGTGCTCGGAGCTCCCAGCATCCAAAGGCGGACGGCGCCCCCATCGACGTGGGCGCACTCCTGCCGCTAATGGACCAGTCGGCCCCAATACCTGCTGGTCGATCTCACTGTAAATTCATCCGGGAGAGTATCGCTTCACCGATCCCCATCCCCAGCGGCGGGCCCCACTGGCCGATTTGGCCCCCCAGATGGGGGTACAGTCCGGGCGTTGACCTAAGGGCTCCGAAATAAGGAACGAGGTCCCTTTTTCTCATAAGTTAAACTTCGATCCCCCATGGGAAACCTCAGGAAAACCCACGGCAAACTGCGAAGCAATCGAGGAGCACCGAGCCCCTCCCCGACGAAAAGGGTTCCTTCTTCAGCGCCCCGACTGTACAGGCCGTTCCCTTCGGGTTCGAGGCGTGGCTCCCCCACTGGGGTGGTAGTTCGCTGGGGGTCTCGAAGGGGATGGCGATGGGGACGGGGATCGGTTCGCCGACGCCGACCGAGGCCCCGCCGCCGCTGCCGCGGTCGTGCGGCAAGGCGAGCGAGGCACGCCGCGTGCTCGAAGGCCCCTGCGGCCCCGAGCGCGTCTTGGAGCAGGGGCTCGCTCGCCGTGGCGGCCGGCGGCTCCGGCGGAGTAGCGGGCAGAGCAGCGCGTTTGAGCCTGCCTGCGTCGTGTTGGGGCCCTTCCCTGGGGCGTCTCGAGGCTTACAGTCATCGGCCTGACCTAAGGATCGATCTATAAGGAAGGAAGCCCCTTTTTTATCCCAAGAAATAACGCATAAGGAACGATACATAACAAATAACGCATAAGGAACTGTAAATAACGCATGCAAGCCTCAGGAACGACCGAGCCCCTTTTGAAAACTAAGTGTTCCTTATTCAAGCCGCTCGCTGTAGGTCGGGCATGTCCCCCTGCAGGCGGGTGTTGGAGGAACAATGAAAAATACGCCCCAAAGTAGGTAAACATGATCAAAACAGTCAGAATTCGTCCTCAGTATTTTTGGACTATTTTCGAATCTTCCTCCTGTAGAGGGACAGGCCCGACGTAACTCTGGCGGAGGAACGGGCAGAACAACCAACGCGTTTGAGCCGCCTGCGTCGTATTGGAACCCTTCCCTGGGGCGTTTCAAAGCTCTTCTTGGCAGGATCTTGCGGCTCTGCGTTTGGGCCCCGGGGGCCGTCTGGGGTGCGTTTGGAACCTTTTGAAAATATGTTGAAGGCATGTTTGGGGCCTCCTGGGTGCTTCTTGGGGTTCTCTTGGTGTCATCGTGGAGTCGTTTTGGGGGGCTCTTGCGCTCTCTGGGGTCTTCTCGGGGTTTCGCTTCGATCGAGCAGGGCTTGCGACAAACAGGGAGGGACAGACTATGGAGGTGGGGGCCCCATGCTGGATCCCGTGCTGTCCCTTTCAAAGAGGTTCAGGAGCGAGGCAGCACAAGAGGGAGCGACTCAATCAGGAATAATATAGACAAGGGATGGGCTAGGGGAGGAGCACGAGTGAGGAGGACAGGGCAGTAGGGCGACGGCCAACAAAGATGGGAGCACGGAAAAACAAATACCCAGGCGAACAAAAACAACACACTCTACACGCGTGGAAATTACCAACACGACCGCTCGATGCACAAGAACTCCGCCAGAAGACGGCGGACCAAGCTCGACATAGACTCACGCGACACCCATCAAACATGGACATGGAACAATGCATGCGACGCGGAACAACAGACCGGGGACAGAAGAAGCAGGAGGGAGGATACTTTGAGGAGCGATTTATAGCTTCAGCGCAGCGCGCGGAAATCCAGGCAGGGGGCGGCGCGAGCTCACGATTCACTGGCCGGCTCGTGGGGGCGAGCCACCCTGCGGACGCAGCCGCGGGGGCGAGCCATCATGCCGACGTAGCCTTTGGGGCATCCGGCGGAGCTCCCTATGGGGCTCCGCAGCGTGTGAGTTGTGCGCCACAAGGGACCCGAGCGACCACGCGGGCGCAGCTAGTGGGGCCTTCGGTGGAGCCCTTTTGTGGGGCCACGAAACGTGTGAGGGGTGCGCCGGCAAGGGCCCGAGTCACCATGCGGACGCAGCCACTGGGGCCTTCGGTGGAGCTCCCTATGGGGCCCACGAAACGTGTGAGGGGTGCGCCGACATGGGGCGAGTCACCATGCGGACGCAGCCACTGGGGCCTTCGTGAGGGGTGTGCCGACTTGGGGCGAGTCACCATGCGGACGCAGCCACTGGGGCCTTCGGCGGAGCTCCGTATGGGACCCCGAAACGTGTGAGGGGTGCGCCGAAATGCGGACGCAGCCAGTGAGGCCTTCGGCGGAGATCCCTATGGGGCCGCGAAACGTTTGAAGCCCGAAGAGGCGACGAAGCTGCAGCATCTTCGAGCACGCACTGAACATGAATGGCTTGGGCCTACTAGGATGTCTCTGGGGCGTCTCGGGGTCCTCTTCGCGGCGTCTTGGGGAGGAGGAGGAGGAGGAGGAGGAGGAGGAGGAGGAGGAGGAGGAGGAGGAGGAGGAGGCGGCGGAGGAGGGAGGAGGAGGAGAGGAGGAGGAGGAGGAGGAGGAGGAGGAAGGAGGAGAGGAGGAGGAGGAGGAGGAGGAGGAGGAGGAGGAGGAGGAGGAGGAGTCCTGGGCCGCTCTCGGGGCCTCCTGGGGCCCTGCACCGGCCGCCCGTCGCCGATCGGGCCGCCCCAAGGACGACCGGCTCCCTGCTGCCGGACTTCCGCCGGGCCCCGCCTGCGCTCTGGCCGTGGCCCGGAGCGGCTTCTGTGGGGGGGCAGTCCTCGCCCTGCCGGGAGGAGCGCTGCACGGACACCGCCAGGGCTCTCCCAGCCACGGCGACCCTCGGCCACGAAGGGGTTCCCGGATCCGGCTCCGAGCAGCCGCCCGCCCCCCCTCCTCCCTCCTCTCCTCCTCCTCCTCCTCCTCCTCCTCCTCCTCCTCCTCCTCCTCCTCCTCCTCCTCCCTCCCCTCCGACGCCGCCTCCGCCTCATCCTCCTTCTTGTCCCTCCCCGCCTCCTCCTCCTCCTCCTTCTCCCCCTCCTCCGCCGCCTCCGCCTCCGCTTCCGCCTCCGCCTCTTTCCTCGCCGCCGCCGCCTCCTCCTCCGCCTGCGCCGCCCCTCTCTCTTGCCCTCCTCCTCCCCCTCCCCGTTCCAGCGGCCGCTCCTCCCCCTCCCACCTCTTCGCCCGGCCCTCCCGCTCCTGGGACTTGGAGAGCTCCACCAGGAGCTTCGCGACGTGGTGGGACACGTCCATCTTCTCGAGGATCGTGGCGCCTACTCTCGCCCCCTCCCCCTCTCCCTGGAGAGGGAGTGGGGTAAGATAGGAGAAGATGCCGCCTGACGAAACAAGTCGGGTCGAATGACCATTGGACTTGCAACCGTGCAACAGATTCGGACCTTGGGAGCCGAAGGGGTGGATCCCAGGACAGAGAACAGAACTGGACTGCAGGGCCTCTGACCAGTCAGACTCCCTGTCTCCGCGGCGAGGGATGCTGCGCGCTGGCTCCAGCCAGCGATGCCCGAGATCCTCCGCCTCCCCCGCTCCCCGCGACGGACGACCGACGGCCGCGTCCTCCTCCGACTGCCAGCCACGGGCTGGGGCTGTAGCCGCGGTTTGGCCGAACTCTCACGGGCTCGGACGCGCTCAC